GCCCAGGGTGGCCCCACCCACCGTGGGCTGGGCCCTCCCCCAGCAATCGCTAATTAAGAAAATGCCTTACAGCGGAGGGAGGGGGCGCTCGTGCACGCGGGGGAGGGAGGGAGGGGGCGCTCGTGCACGAAGGGGGGGAGGGAGGGGGCGCTCGTGCACGCGGGGGAGGGAGGGAGGGGAGGGGGCGCTCGTGCACGAAGGGGGGAGGGAGGGGGCGCTCGTGCACGCGGGGGGAGGGAGGGGGCGCTCGTGCACGCGGGGAGGGAGGGGGGCGCTCGTGCACGCGGGGGAGGGAGGGGGCGCTCGTGCACGCGGGGGAGGGAGGGGGGCGCTCGTGCACGCGGGGAGAGGGAGGGAGGGGGCGCTCGTGCACGAAGGGGGGAGGGAGGGGGCGCTCGTGCACGCGGGGGAGGGAGGGGAGGGGGCGCTCGTGCACGAAGGGGGGAGGGAGGGGGCGCTCGTGCACGCGGGGGAGGGAGGGGGCGCTCGTGCACGCGGGGGGAGGGAGGGGGGCGCTCGTGCACGCGGGGGAGGGAGGGGGCGCTCGTGCCCGCGGGAGGGAGGGAGGGGGCGCTCGTGCCCGCGGGGAGGGAGGGGGCGCTCGTGCACGCGGGGGAGGGGAGGGGGCGCTCGTGCACGCGGGGGAGGGAGGGAGGGGGCGCTCGTGCACGCGGGGAGGGGAGGGGAGGGGGCGCTCGTGCACGCAGGGGGGAGGGAGGGGGCGCTCGTGCACGCGGGGGAGGGAGGGGGCGCTCGTGCACGCGGGGGAGGGAGGGGGCGCTCGTGCACGCGGGGGAGGGAGGGAGGGGGCGCTCGTGCACGCGGCCCCACCCCTGCACGGCCCCCTCCGCACGCGGCTCCCACCCGGGCCGGCGCGGGGTCGCGGGGTCACGGGGGCCGCGGGGTCACGGGGGTCGCGGGGTCACGGGGTCACGGGTCCCCACACTCACGCGGGCCGCCTCCCGAGGCCGCGGGCCTGACGGCGGAGGTGAAGGCGCGCGGGCCGCGCGACCCCGGGCACAGGATCCGCCTCAGCTGCAGCGCGGCGCCCGCCATGGCCGGAGGACGGCGAGCCAGGGCGGAGACGCGCCGCGGGAGGGGCGGGCCCGGAAGTGCGCGCGTGGGAACGGAAGTGCGCTGCGAGGGGGCGTGGCTGCGGCGGGGGGGCGGGGCGGGGGCGGGGGGCGGGGCTGGCGCAGGCGGAGGGCGGGGCGGGGGCGGGGCTGGCGCAGGCGGGGGCGGGGCGGGGGCGGGGCGGGGCTACGGCGGGCGGGGCGGGGGGCTGGCGCAGGCGGGGGGCGGGGGCGGGGCGGGGGCGGGGCTGGCGCAGGCGGAGGGCGGGGCGGGGGCGGGGCGGGGCGCGGGCGGGCGGGTTGGGTCTCTGGCGCGCCCCGTCTGCTGCTCCGTTTTGTTTTGCTTTGCTTTAAAAGCAGTGGCTGCTCCGAGTCGCCCTCCTCCTCCCGATTATTTGTGCGTCTGTGCGCGTCGGTGCCGCCCGCACAGGCCAGCACCGGGTGCCGGTGTCGCCCCAGCGGCCAGCAGAGGGCGAGCAGTTGGGGCCGATGAGCTCACCGATGGGGATGGGGATGGGGCGCCTATCCAGCCCATTTCCCTTTTCCCATCTCCCCTCCTCCCTCCCTCCCCCCTCCCTCCCTTCTTCCTTTATTTATTTTTTTTTTCTTTCTATCCTGTATCCCAAGTGCTGGGATTATTGGTATGGGACATAACACCTAGCTTTACACTCTACATTTTTTAATTACACTGTTAGTGTGTGCGCGCGTTTGTGTGTTTAGCCCACACTAGTGAGAAGTTTCAGGGAATCGGTGCTTTGGATTTCTCCCTCTGTGGATGGTCGAGGGACTAGAGAGACGACTCAGCAGTTAAGAGCAGTGACTGCTCTTCCAGAGGACCCTATTTCGATCCCCAGCACCCACATGATGGCTTACAGCCATCTGTAATTCCAGTCACAACGTACCTTCTCCTGGTTTCCACAGGCAGCTGGCATGCATGGGATGCATAGACGTACACGCAGGGGAAACACCCATACATATAAAATAAGTAAGCAAATAAATAACTTATAAAAATGAAAAAATGAGCCTCTATTGGGCACACACCCAATACACAGCAGTGGCAGGTGGGTCTCTGTGTTTTGGAGACTAGCCTGGTCTAGGTCGTGAGTTCCAAGTCAGCCAGTGACACAAAGTGAGTCCATGTCCCAAAAGGAAAAAAAAAAAAAAAAAAAAAAAAAAGGATCTTAATCTTAATCTTACCTTGGTTTAAAACTACCTCAAGAGATTTTGAAAATATATCTCAGCCTCCTCTGTGGTGGTTAATTAATCTAGGTGTCTTTTTTTTTCTTTTTTGCGTATCTGTACTTAATTTGTATTTTTTAATTAAAAAACTTGTACGTGTGCACACATGCACATCATCATCCATGGGGGAAGAATCACACATGCACATCATCATCCATGGGGGAAGAATCACACATGCACATCATCATCCATGGGGGAAGAATCACACATGCACATCACCCATGTGGCAGAATCACACATGCACATCATCATCCATGGGAGCAGAATCAGTTCTCTATTTGCACCCTCTGAGTCCCAGGAGTCGAACTCAGGGTTTCAGTCTTAGAAGCAAGGGCCTTTACCACTGACCCTTCTTGCCAGCCCAGTTTCTGTTGTTGGGCTTTTGTTGTTGTTGTTTTGGTTTTGGTGGGTGGCATCCAGAATTTCAGAGGCAGGAGGATTGCAAGTTCAAGGCCTGACTTAGCTACACATCATGCACTTAAATCATACCTCAAGAAGAATCCAGTGCCAACTGAGCCATTTTACTGGCCTCCATGCCTTTTCTTAACAGAGTCCTCGGTAGTATCTATTTACATATATTTACCGTGCCACCCACCATAAGGTAGAAACGCCAGCAAGAATGGGGGCTTCACTCTTCACATGGTTGCACTGACGGCATAAAACAGACCTTTGTCCAATAGACAGTAAGCCATTATCTGAATAAACCTGTCCATTTATACTAACCCCCACCCCCACTTTTTAAAAGGCTGCAAAAGCAGCCGTCTATTCAACGCTGCTGAGTGCTATGTTAGCTTCTCCAGACTGTGACATGATGCTTGACCAAAGCAACTTAAGGAAGAAGGGCTGTTTCTTCAGTCTGGGGGCACGGTGCATGTCCATAGCAACAGGATCTTGAGGCTGGTCCTGAGCAGCCTTCCCAATCAGAAAGCAGAGTCCTGAACGCCGCCGGTGCTTCAGCTCTTGGTCCTTTGTACCCAGTCTAAGGGCGCGGTCCGTGGGATGGAGCAAACACTCCACCACTGAGCTCCATCCTTAGCCCTCTCTTATGCTGTTTCAAGTTAAACTGATAAGTAATCCTGCGTGTTGCTACTCATTTACTGCAGTATTAAACACAGGACTGGTTTCTGGCTCCTCCTCATTCTAACTTCCTTAAGGAGAGGGCTTGGGCTGAAGAGGCCATGTACTCCTTTCTTTCCTGAAGTTAGGAGATGTCACAGGGATCACAAAAATTCTTCCCTTGCTTGCTTTCCCCAGGACTGGTCTGAGTGACCACTCCTCCTAACAGGAAGGGTTTGGGGCCGCTGTTGATTAAACTGGCAAGGTGTATCCACACTTGAACACAAGGCTCAGTGGAAAACAAGAGCAGGCTCTCCGGGGTTTGCCCATACTGAAATAACACTGTGTATGTTCTCTGCACATGCCGTATGCTGGGCACGAGAGGGACCTCAGTGGGTTGGATTAGTGCTAAACACTGACCGAAGACTCTGGATTTCACATGAGGAACAGCAGCATTGCAACACAGGTGTGGCCATCTTTATTTTGTTTTGTTTTTGAGTGTGTATGGGGGCTGGATATGAATTTGTGGGCATTCTCCTGCCTCAGCCTCCAAGAGTGTAGGTATGGGTCACACCCTCCCCACTGCCTTCATCCTTAACCGTCGAATGGAAAAGAACAGGAGGCATCAGGGTTCTGGAAGTCAAATGGCAAACCCTAGAAATGTAACAGAGGGGAAGACATTTATGCAGTGGGCTGGAGGGAGGGGTGGGGCAAAGCGAAGGGGGTCACCGAAGTCCCCTGCAAGTGACGTCAGCCTGCTGAGAAGGGATAGGGCCAACCAGACAGGCACTGTTGGAAGCCCACTGGATGTTTACATGTGATGCCTGAGCCCCACAACAGGGTGGAAAAGGTTGGAGTCCAATAGAAACGTGCAAGCTGAGAAAAACCAGCTCGGCGATTGGGTAAGTAGAAACGGGTGAGCACAGGTTTCAGGTTTGACCTCACCCCCTCCTCAACAACTGTGACCATTTAGAATATTCTGTTTGAAAAAAACATTCCTTACTGCAAACACAGATACTGTAACAAGCAATTCTTTCACAGGTGACCTAGTAAGTCACGGGTAGAGTTAAGACTCAATGGAATCCTAAGTTAAATCCTTTGAGAGTTTGGGGGGGGGTGAGGGGTGACTCAGTGGTTAAGAGCACTGGCTGCTCTTCCAGAGGTCCTGAGTTCAATTCCCAGCAACCACATGGTGGCTCTCAACCACCTGTAATGAGATCTGGTGTCCGAGGATAAATGCAGACAGAACACTGCATAATAAATAAAGACATGTTTTTTAAAAATCCGTTGAAAGTCCTTCATGTGCAGACTTGCTGGGAAGGATCGTGAGGGGAGGTGGGCTCAGAGGATCAGCCATGGGAAGACTGGCGCCCCAAATTTATTTACACCTGTTGCTTTGCCCCCCACCCCCGCCGACAACAGCAGTAATGTTATATGCTAATGACCATGAGGCTAGACAAAGACTGTTGTTTTGCAAATCAAAATTTATGCATATCTTTATCATTTCCTCCCCAAATTTTTATTTTTAAGTAAACAAAGAGTAAATTAAGTTTCCCCAAGACACAGCTAGAGGTTCCCCCCCCTCCATTTCCATAATTGTAACCCTAAAAAGTTTGGACCGAGGTAATCACTTTCAGTCAATGATAAGGGTTCTCCCTATTTTGCTGATTTTTTTTTTCCCCTGTTTTATCTTACAGGCCAGTCACAGCAACATGCCCAGGTTAGAGAAGGCTAATATAAACCTTGCCCATGCCACCCAGCCCATCTCTTTTACTCAGGCAGTTTCCCAGCAGCTCTTTGATGGAGACACAGTCTTCCGTTTCCAGCAAAAACTGTTCCACAGCCTTGCGTCCCGGCAGACGGCTCTCCAACATCCCACTTCTGATACTGTCCAGGGCAACCCCTCTGATGGCTTTAGGTCTTCCAGGCACGCTGAAGACGATAAACAGGCCCAAACAGTCCTCTCCCACCAAGTGACAGAACTCTTCCAGCCTATCAAACCTGCCTCTGGTGCGAGACTCCTCTCCCCTTGCTTCGCAGGGCTTTGGGTCCCTCGGAGGGAGAGGAGAAGCCGTCATCCTCAGGGTCTGCACCGCCACCTGCAGCCGTATTTGCTTGTCAGGTCCCCAGAAGGTCCAAATCCAGTCTGCTCCAAACAGCGAGGCCTGGTGCTTGGTCATCTTGGTGGTGGTGAGCCACTCATCAGCCCCCCTCTCCTGACAGAAAGCGACGAAGTGGACGAGGAAGACCTCACTCAGAGTACTTGCTGCAAGGCGGAGTCTGCTCAGTGGGTACTCAAACCCGAGGTACTCCTTTAGCTTCTGAGCTGCGTGGGCAACAGCTGCGCTGACCACCTCACACATGGCGAGGACCTCCTGGCCGTCCTTGGGAGCCACCTGCTGTGAGGCCTTTTGCCCCATCTCCCTGCTCACCCAGAAGATACTCCTCTCAGTTAACCGGCACGTGAAGGTCACGCACGGGGAATTGCTTCTTTTTCAGAGGGGATTTTCTTCATCCAAGCCAAGTCTGTTAAGACTGCTACTTGCTTCCTAATGCCACAGCTTCCTTGGTGTGGCTAGCCATATAGCCCTGAGGCTGGACAAACTGTGTGAGGGAGGGCTTCCTGTTTGTCAACTGGGTGTGTTATGCTCACACAGATAACTGCTGCCTGCCAAGCGACAGGTGACAATTTCACACAAAACACCTGTTGTCTAGGTGTGATCTTTGGGAAACTCTGCCTGGATGTGGTTCCTTTCCCAAAACAAAACAAACAAAAAAACCAAAAAAGAAAAACCATCAGATGAAAAACCAGTATGTGAGCGTACAGGCTGGAGTCATATGCCCTTTTTCTCCAAGCAATATCTTGTCTTGCAAATCTTGTCTTGACCCTTCGTTCCCCAAGTATGATGATCTCGATTTGTCTGTAACTCATGCTGTGAACCCAACTCACGCTAACATATGCGAGTTTACGTACAAGCCTGTTTTTCTTCCAGAAACCAAGAATGTTGTTATTCTGAACAAAGGGACATTAAATAATGACAATTAAAAGCACAAGGCAATTATCAATTGACTTTATTTTCTTTCATACGGTAATGCCAACAGCGCATAATACTTTTGTAAATATATAATCAGAAGTTTTCAACTTTATCACATATCATCGGTTGTTACATTGTGCTTAATAAAGAATATTTGGCATCGGTAACAGTCTGCTGGTATTTTCAACCAGGTTCAAATGACAAACTGAGCTTTTCAAATGGTGTGATGTTTTACTTGACGTTTAAACTAAAACCCCAATACAGGAAGAAGCCAATATAATCATCAAATCATGAACCAGAGCATCCAAAGGACATCTCTGTTAGCGTCAGGTAATTGCAGTTAGATATAAAGAGCCGTGTTACAAGCTTCTCAGTGAGCAGCTCCATAACCTGCTGAGTATATAACGGGAACACTGTTGACATTTAGAAATGGTCACCATCAAATCTATTACCATAAACTGAGCTGCCCACCTGCACCCAGTGTGTGAGCTCCTATCTGTACATGGTTGATCTCATTATGTGTAACCCTGAATGCAAACCAGATCGTCTCCCACACCACTAAAAACACACATAACACACATGCCTTTCTGTCTTCTTTACAAAGAGCTTTTGGGCCTTGTGTTACAGAACACATGAGCAATGTGCTACCGGACAGGAAAACCGTTAGAAAACAGTCTGCAGCTTCAGAGTATTTGGATCCTGACTGCAGTAGCACGAAGCCCCCTCAGTTGCCGGTAGGAGCGTAAGAGGCAGTGGACATGGCTGGGTGGACTCCTTAGTTCCATGTAATGGTGCATTTAGCAAAGAAGAAAATGAGAAACGCGGCGTGCAAAGGTCCTGTTTTGGTTTGGTTTTTCCAAAGTCATTCTAATGAAATCTTTCCTGAGGGAACTGAGTGCATCCAAACCGGAGGCGAGGATGAAGCCGGAGCCTCTGTGGCATTGTGGGGGTTAAAGAAGTGCACATCGCGTACAATTTAACCTGAATGGCTAACACTGCGAAGTTCGTCAGTGGAGGAAAGAGGACTCTGATCTCCTCAGGAATCAGCTGTTCATAAAAACTGAGGGCGTCTTTGTTTTTAATAGGATCTTTTGAGCCCCCTGTCACAAAATAAAAGTTGTTTTCTATATACTGTATATATACACATATTTAGAAAAATATATAAAAATGAGACAGTCAGAGGCAGGTGGGTGTGCGGCTGGCATCTTAAATAGAATATATCACAGACTTTACATTAAACAGAGGCAGAGCGGGCACGCTTCCGTTCACTGGTGTCTCGCTTCCCCCAGCATCTCCAGAGCTGGCACCTGGGGTGTATCCCCTCCCCTGCATCACAGTGAGCAGAAGTCGGAACAATAAACCATGCACAACCTGTCACCTGGGGTGTATGCTACTGGGAAGTGGCATCTACGCTCCTGGTGCTTGCCTGGCGCTCTGGTCAAACGTTGGAGTCTTCATCTGTGATGCTGGCGCTGGGGGAGCAGGCAGCAAAGTCTTTGAACATGTCGTCTTCCTTTAGCATGTGCTGGAAGACAAGGGACAGTCAGTCACACACTGGGTCCTGAGCTCGTCGCCACACACCTGCCAACACGCAGGCGGCTGTTTGTGGCTCCGGGCACTTTCAGAATAACACGTCCAACTCCCTGAACACACTTACTGTGAGATTGTTGATGCCTTCGGAAAACGCACCTATCTGTCTCACCGTCCCTTCGGAATCTTCCATCTGCCAAGAACGGGCCACACGATGTGACAAACTCATTTGCACAATTTCAAAAGCACAGATAAACGCGTGACAGTAAAGCAGAAACAACACAGAGGCACCAAATGCAGCAGGAACAGCAGGGATCCTGTGCCTCGGCTTCCCCACTGAAACACTGTCAAGGTCTCCCATCAGTACCAACGACAGAGTCCTGGGAAGCAGGCGGCAATCTGCGGGCGTTCAGAGTACTCCCCGACTCTCATTTTCAGGCACGTGAAGACAGTGTGCAAAGCTTCCACAGCATATCCCGAGTGCCGGGCGCGCACAGTGCCAGACTTACCTGTTCTAACCGGTCCAAGTCATCCTCTTCATACAGACGCATGTCCAAGCCAGGTCTAAACCCCTTCTGGGAGCCGCTCCCCGACAGCTGCCCCAGCTCCATTGGACAAATGTATTCCTCTCCATCTCCCTGCTGCTTCTTCCTCAGATTCCCAAAGCTGCCGAAGGTCAGCTTCTTCGGCTTTAAAAGCAAACAAAAAGACATCCGGCAGTTTGCTAAAACTCCCATGACAAAGGACTAATAACACGGGTCACTTCATCACACAAAGGAAGCAAATTGGACGGTCAAATTATCACAAGAAACGCAGAAGCACCCTGGACACAGAAGTGGTCTTGGCATAACTCTCCCCGTGATGCCACAGGCTGGACATGTCAAAACCGTTTGTTTGCATTAGACAGGACTTAACACAATAGGTTGCCTCTCCTGGATGGCTCAAATTTTGCCAGGCTATTCGATCTAAAAATCAATAAAAGGACAGTGCCCCGAACTGGTCTAGGGGCATAGGCCTGCTGGCAGCCACAGCCAATTGGAAGCTGAGACAGGGAAATCACAAGCTTAAGCCCTGCGTGGGCAACTTAGTAAGAGCCTGACTCAAAAGGAAATTTAAAGGGGGTGGGCAGACCGTGGCGTGTAGGTCAATGGCAGAGCCCTCGCCTGATATGATTAAGAGCCTAGGTTCAATCCCGAACTGGACGGAGAAGAGGGAAGGAGAGAGAGGGATGGCAGATAGCAAAGCTGAGATTATTGTTTGCGTATTCTGCTCTTGGATTTACGCTCTTGGAAAGAAACTCCATCTTAGTCCCAACAAAGCCCCCAGGGTAAAGCCAGGAGAGCTTGGCACATGTTTCTGGGAGAACACTTAAGCTGTCTTCACGTTAAGGATATGGGAGCAACAGGTACAGACAAGTCAACGTAGGTATAACTCAAAAGAAGTAATGTCTTACAACCCTCAAACACTGGTTACTCCTCCCCCTCCCCCAGGCCTCCTCTTATGCCTCTTTCTTTACCAACAGGAAAGAAAACCCACTGCAATGGTAAACTGGGCCCAAGTCACAGTCCTCAGCGTTGGCAAGACACTGACGACATCAGCTCTAACCCTCACAATCCGAATGACTTTAGCAGAGACTTTCAAGCATGCGGCCCCTTAACTGCTCTTGAAATTCATAAGCACACGTGCGTTAGTATATGCTAAAAGTATAGGCTTTTTAACTCATGGATAGAACTGCGTAAATCTCGGGAAATGGAATGATGGAGGCCTTGCAAACACCATGCAATGATTAACCGAACCAACCTTCACTTTGGCAGTTGCCGTGAGCAGTACGTAATCTGGTAACTCCATGGCGTCTCGTTTCTGGTGCTGGGCCTCGGCACCAATCAGAAGGTTGAAGTGCGTGGCCAAATGTCTGCGCAGCAAGGTTTTGTTTGGTGGAATGTTCAATAGCTGAGCCATAGTTTCCACATTAAAACGAGGCTCCAGAACCTGTAAGAAAAACTGGGATTGGTAAAAGGCGCCGTGGGCCATACACAGTTGCAGTAGAAGTATGTAGCAGCTTCTATCCTTGTCAGAGTATTCGTGTTGGTGGTCACACCCCCGTTGGGCGTGGCCAGAACTGGAAAGAGGGATGCTTGAGGCAGGGCTTGCTATCTCTCTGTCTCTCCCTCTTTCTCTCTCCCTCCCTCCCTCCCTCCCTCTCTCTCTCTCTCTCTCTCTCTCTCTCTCTCTCTCTCTCTCTCTCTCTCTCTGTGTGTGTGTGTGTGTGTGTGTGTGTGTGTGTCTTGTGTCAGGAGGGCAGAGAAAAGGCTGTGGTGGTTCTTTATTATTATCCGTGTAAGCTGTTTCCCAATAAAACACCCAGTTATCATTTATCTTGGGTCTAGTGAACTCATTATGCCCTGCCTTCAGAAGTATTTCACAGTTTGTAAAAGTCTTTCATTTGGGTGATGCCCAACAGCCCTACGGACGGCTGAAGGCATGGACTTTTTTTTTTTTTAATGTGTAAAAGCATTTCCTACATGTATGTATGTATACCACATGTGTGCAGTGCCCACTGAGGCCAGAAGGAGGTGTCAGATCCCCTGGAGCAGGGGTTATGGATCACTGGCTACCGTGTGGGTGCTGGGGACTGAACCCACGTCCTCTGCAAGAGCAGCCAGTGCTCTGAGCTGCCTGCCCAGCTTGGACTCATCACTGTGCCCGAGTCAGGGGTGAGCTGGCCGTGTAACCCAGGCTTTAAGCGATGCTACATCTCTCTGTTTGGAACCACTCGTGGAACACTGATGTATCTGTCCAGGCATTTAAAACCATGAGTACTGAGAGACGGCGGCTGATGTTAGTCAACACTGAAGAGCAATGGAAGGGAATGGGCTTAAACCTAATTTAAAGAGAGGCACTAAAGACGCCCTGGCACCGAGTTAGGATCACTAAAACAAAACTGATGTAGGATGATTGTCCTGTGCCACAGTGAGCATGAAGTGATGGTCTCTCCTGGGGTTGGACCAAGCTGTGACACAGATTCACTTATGCTTCAAATGTACACAGCCTCTGGCAACTTGATGCAATTCTTCCAGCACACAAGACCTACTCCACCATGGAGAACTTCCCACGTGTGATGTGGAAACACAAGTCACAGGTTTTAAAGCAATGGCAGATTTCAGGACCAAGACCGCTCGCCCTTTGGACTAGAGGAAACCAAGCAAGCAAACTGAAAGAGAGCTTTACCATGAGCCCTCCGTGGACGCCGCTGCCTCTGAGATTGGGGGCATACTCTGCCAAGTCCACGGAGCGCAGCCACTCCATCACACGATGATTGGTCCACTGCTGGACCTCGGATGGGCTGATGCTGTTCTGTAGAGACACACACACACACACACCACACTTCAGGCGCTGATGGCAGGACCTGTGATACTAAACCCCACACATGCAAGTCTAACAGGTCTGGCCTAGAAAGCACACTATCTGGTGTGCCGTGAACTATGCAAAGATAAAGGCAAAACAACAAGTGTTTGCTAACTTGACTGCCTTTTGAAACAACCTGTGCCACCGATCCAAGCTTCCTTACGCAGTAGGAAATGTTTACAGTGACACTTTGCTCTGTGGATTGAGTTGGCAGTAAAAAGTAGAGCCCACAAACAGGGGGAAGGAAGTGGAGAGACAAGCTGTGGCCCCGGTGACACGGAGGGATGAAATAAAAGGGAGGGATGGAGGAGAGCAAAGCCTGAAGCCAGCGAGGCGGGATCTGAGGCTCTAAGGGAGCCTGCTCCCTCTGCAGGTTCCAGGAGAAAGGGGCTCTGCGCGTTCACACACAGACCACCGAGTTCACACGTGCCAACTTCGTGTCCGAAAAGCTACCTCGTCAGACGGCCGCCTCCGCAGGCAGTTTGGCTCAAAGTTATTGATCCTCAGGACCTGGATGGCCCTTTTGATACTGAGGTGGTGCAGGACGCTCACAACCTTCAGGGATAGCAGGTCATCCTGCAGAGGAGAAAGAGGAACTCGCTGTGCTGGCCCTCAACAGGGGGCGGGGGGCTCCCTGGGGAACCCCAGAACTCTGATTGTGATCTCAGGGCTCATGTACTAACAGAACACTTTCCTGTTCTCAACAAATCCTTCTCCAGAACCTCAAATTCATACTGTGTCTCACCCCAAATCTGTTACCTCCTTCTTGCTCTCCCTTATGTCCTGCTAGGACAGAGTCACACCAGGGCACTGAAAAGCACCCACTGGTCACAGCAGAAGAAAATCTGCTGCTTGTTAGGGGGCAGGGGAGACAGTCTCTATGCAGCCAGGCTAGCCTCCACCCCAGGGGCTGATGAGACTGAGTGGGGTGGTGCTGGGCCTTGGGGAACTCCTGTCTCCTCCTTAGGCCCCAGAACTTGATCTGCAAACAACAGGCCAGCAGCCATACTGCCCTCCCTTTCTCTCAGCGACAGCTGAACCAGAAGGCTCACGTGGGATCAAGCTTCCCGGCATGCAGCGTGGGATCAAGCTTCCTGGCCTGCAGCGTGCCCGGTCTGGGTTATTCGCTTCACCTAGCAGCACGGTGACCAGCGCTGGCAAAACTACGTCCCTCAGCGCAAGGGCTTGAGTTAATAAATAGTAAAAGAGAAATGAAGACTTTTAAGTTTCAGCACATCAAGGAAACTCTTTGGGCAGCAATTTCGAACATGGCCCAAACACACCGCCAATTATTTCAGCAGTAAGTGATTTCAGGGCAGTGCAGAGATAAATCTAAACACACCCAGAAAATAAGCAGACGGCTGTCTGTGTAGGGACACAGCATGCCTTACTGATAACACATTTCTTGTGAAGAAAAAAAAGAAAAGTCAGAGAAATTAGCTTACTGTAAAAATGTTTTTAAGAGTAAAAATAAAAAGTTAGCAGTTTATCCTTGGGGCTACTGGGCAAAAAATTATTTCCTAAGTTTTTATAGGGTTAATTTATTAAAATTAGTGTCTTAGGATACATTAGAAAAGGCATTTAACATATTTTGATCCAAAAACTGAGATACTCATTCCAAACATTTCAGTGTAGGCTACTTTCATTTAATTAGAGTCTATCAGATTAAGGAACATCTAAATTATAATGTTTCCAATATAAATAAAATGTTAATTACTCCTCAAAATAAATTTGAAGGATTTTTACAAGGATTGCTTTCATTTAAAACCCTTTTTAAGTCTGGGCACTGTGGCACACACCTTTTGTCCCAGCACTGGGAAGGCAGAGGCAGGCAGAGCTGTGAGTTCCAGGTCAGCCAGAGGTACACAGTGAAATCCCACCCCTCCTCCAAAATGTTTAAAAATAATTTAAGACTTAAACAAGAGCTTCTGGATAGCGTAGATTTCTATGTACATTTTATAGTTTCTCCTCATATTCATATCTTATGAAACTAAGGCACACAGATTTATATAAAGTACAGGCCTGGTTCCGTTTCTGATAACTTTAGGGCTTATTTATTTATTGTTATCATCAGTGCACGTGTGTAGCGTGTATGGAGGGACTGGAGCACACACGTGGAGAACAGAGGACAGCTCTGTAGACTCAGTCCTTGCCTTCCACCTTTACATGGGTCACAGGAATAGGACTCAGGTCGCTGGGCTTGAACAGCAAGCACGTTTTCCTGCTCTGATATCCCACCCAAACTGGCTTTTTACTACCTGGTTTTTGTCAATTTCCCACTCAGATCCTTTCTCTGTTCCCGGAGCCAATCCAGGGAACCACATTCCAACAGGGGCTTTTGACTTGGGGCTCATAGGTCACGCCTTCCTGGGTCACTCAATGTCTCTCAGGCAGGAAGATCTTCCATGTGCTTCCTGTGACTTTTATGTGTGAGGTTGTTCAAATCCCCATGGACATCTGACCCATCACATCCCATGGGCACAGCAGAGGCAGGTCAAATGTCACTGTTTGTCCCAAGTGGAATAGGAAGCTATTAAGGACCTGGAACGGGTCTCGCCTCAAATGACACCCTACCTCTTAGTAACCATAGAAACCTGGTTACGTTACCCAACCTCTCAACTCCTTGTTTCCTCATCTTAAGCATGGAGATGATAATCATGCTAACTTAAATGATTAGAGACTCGAGCATCCAGGAATGCATGCTTAGAAAAAGGCAGTGACTATAAAACACGCCAAAACTCATTAGGGTTCTTCATGCGAGGCCACATGATGTCCCCCAAGCTTGTAAGTAGTTTGGTTCAGTGGTAAACGAATACAAACCCTATGAGTTGAGCTCCAAATTCCTTTCACGGTGAGAAATCGTTATGAAATTAGCAGGTTAATTTCCGCTTATTTAACAAAGGTAACACCTAAGGGTCTGCGTAATTTACAAAGTGCTCTTTAAATAGAAGTATCTCATGCAAAACATAATCATAGTGTGGAATTTAGGACAAGGCTCTGGAATCCATCTTCCCACTGCTGCGAGTAGAGAATGTTCTTTCTACTCACTGGTGGGAAGACTAAAAGGATCCAATAGACGAGAAGCTTGCAAGTCTAGCCTCCCCTCCTCTCCTACCCCCATGGGACTGATCTGAAGTGTGAAGCACTTCGGGGGCCAATTCTGAGAAGGAAGGCAAGGGAGGAGGCCACTCATTGCTTGTGGATGTCAGAGCAAAGGGTAAATCCAGAAACGACCCAGACTCCAGTCCTCTCTGTGAGATATAATTCACACACCACAGAATACAAACACTCACAACACACACTTCAGAATTTACCTTATCCTCGGCTGCATCAACCCTGTAGACAGCTTAGGCTAAATTTAGTTTTGCTTGGCTTAAATTGGGTTGCAGGTTATTCCAAGACTGTGCCCATTGCTGCCTCCTATGACATCAGCTTCTTGGGAAACACTGGAACAGAGAGCCACTTACCACAGTCATGTAATGAAGCATCCGACCGTCCACCCGGCCTTCATCAAACTGGGTCTTATACTGAGGGAGGCCAATATCATCCAGCCATCCTGAAAGAGGAAAGCCAGTGTCATTACCACACTACAAAATGCCCATTTCTGTGGTCAGGGAGTGTGGCACACGGACTCTTTCCACCCATAAAAACTCTTACTGGTGACCCAGTTGAAGTCCAGCTTCCCGTAGTTGGTTTCCTCTTCAGATCCCAGGGCCTGCAGGGCCAGTTGGAGCTTCTTGCGATGAAGAGCATGCTTGATGCCAAGCTCCTGAAACAGTAAACAGAACCTCAGAATTCCACCCATCGGGGATGGATCCACCGGCAAACAGTGCAATGTCTTGTTAAAATACTACTTCAGGTTAATAAACCCATCCTACATCACATTACAGTATGAACCTCGGGCCATACACCATTGCCGAAAGCCCAGGTCTACCTTGATGGGCTGAGGAGAAAGTTAGACATTGCCTAGGTAGTCAATGTATTTGTAAGAAGGCAATGTTGAATGTATAGTGGGGATTTTACCCCTATTTTGTGGACAAATGTTCAATAATTACAACATAAAATATAGAATATTGCTAGATGTTGGTGGTGCACGCCTTTAATGCCGGCACTCGGGAGGCAGAGACAGGAGGATCTCTGTGAGTTCGAGGCCAGCCTGGTCTACAGAGTGAGTTCCAGGACAGACTCCAAAATAATACAGAGACCCTATCTTGAAAAAAAAATATGTATGTATATATATATGTATGTATATGCATATATGTGTATGTATACACACACATAAAATTATTTTGTGAAATAAAATTGAACTGTAAATGTTTATTGAAAAGATAAGCCAATGTAAGTTTACGAAATGACCGAGACACATGAGCTCTATTCAGTATATGAGGTCTATTCATTATATAAGAGCTACATACTTGCATGTTTTTTCAAGAGCAGTAATACAGGTTTAACTCACACTGCTTTGTTTTAGAATAATCAAGGCTTCACACTCTGGCAGGGGTAGATGTCGCTGGGGATTGGAACTTGGGCCTCACACATACCAGAAAAGCACTGTATCATTGAGTTACATCCCCAGCTACACACACACACACACACACACACATTCCCTTCACACACACAGAGCAGAGGCCGCCACCTTCTCCAGGTCCTGCTGAGAGGCCTGCAGGAGTGTCTGGCCAGACATAATCCAGTGCTTGCCAGAGCTCAGATAGGACCCCAAGCCTTGCTCGGCTAGCCAGCTGCACACTTGCTCCTTGGTCCACTTGGCAAATGGCATGTCCAGGTCACTGTGGGAACATAAGCAACAGCCGTGAGCCAGTCCTCAAGTTTAACAGTGCACGCAACAGACACGGACATTCCCTGGGGACACACAGTTAACCAAGCAAACCTCATTTTTCAGTGCAGGATTGGTAAGTTACCTTCTAAGGTCCCTAGTTTTCAACTCAAAAGAAACTACAGAAGGGTCAGTGAGAGCTACCGAGAACTCAAACTACACAGAAGCACAAAGATGCACTGTAAAAGTCAGAGTCAAACAACGCCACCCAATGCCCACTCCCGGGTGAGGAAATCCAAGTCTAATATGAGTTCACTTTTGCAGAACCATGGTTTATCTTCCGTAGAGATCACCAAGAAGGTTTATGCTCCTGTTAGGTTACAGGAGGGGACTCTCCAAGCAAACTTTTGCGTTTTCTTTTACTTACACAGTTTTGTAGCTTGAAAGAAAAAATGTGAGGCTGACATAGCTAATTTGAAATTATTTATAGTGTGTGTGTGTGTGTGTGTGTGTGTGCACGCACACACCCCAGTATGCACACGACAAACTGTTGTTTCTTTAAGCACCAGGGAGTTCTTTATTGTGCTTCAGGACATATGGCAAGCGAGAACAGCTGTTATCTGAAAACCAAAGGCGACTTCTTGGTGAAACCCGTGTCCAGGGTTCCACCTACGTGGGAGCGTCTGCTTCCAGCTGATTTCTCTTTTAAAGGCTCAGCACCAACGCCTCAGTGTTTGCCAACCCCGCCCTGTCACGCTCACTTCGGTGTGGTTGGCTCCAAACCGGTTCCAGGCTTTAAGAGGCTCCTGGAGTCCGAATGAGCGAAACATTACCCAGCCTTTCCCAGGTAGCACCATGAGGCGTTTACTCAGGTGGAGAACAATGCATGGCCTCGATAAGCCCAGCAATTCCAACAGAAAGTGTCTTTAAATGCATGCAAAGGCTGGAGCAATGGCTAATGTCTACTGATCAGTTGTTATCTGACAGATACTTGACCCATATCAACTCAATCCTCACCTCTTGGGGTAAGTGCTAATCTTACTATGAAGCAGAGCGTAGAAGCCACCGTCCAAGGCCTCCTGGCTGGTGGCAATGAGTCCAGAGAACAAGTTCAAGAGGTTGGACTCTAGAACGTAATGTTTACCTCCCCGACTCCCACCTCTCAGTTCCGGAGTCTGAACCCAGGACCCCATGTATGCTGACAAGGTCTCCGCTACTAAGCCACAAGCCCAGCCCTGAGACCCATCTCCGAACCACTAGGCCGCCCCATCCTTACAAGACTATGCTTCCAGAGACCCCCTACACTGCTGGATGGCATGCTCCTGACCCCTCACATACTCACACAGCTGTCATCAGTCACTGGCAAACAGTACCACCCCTCCCAGACACAGCCGTAAGCCAGGCCTTGGTGACACCACGGCTGTCCTTACCTGTTGGCCTGCCCTAAATCTCGAGACCAGCCGAGCCTGGGGCCAGCAGTTGCCCTTGTCCCTCCTCTTTTGAATTCGGTCTCGGACATGTCATCTGGGTTGAAGGTAGTCGACTGGCTTCTCCTGAGTCTGAGACACAACACTCATGGTTACTTTAGACCTGAAGAGGCCTCTGCTTGGACGGTGAATCGCGGTGGGTTTTGTTGTTGTTTGCTTGTTTGTTTTGTATGTCATTAGCCTGGGTGTTTGAATTTAAATGTTAACCAAGGCCCAATGAGTTAATGAATCCCAAATCAGCCTTCCTTCCAAGAAGCCTTGGGATCTGGTGCCCACTGCCAGCCCACCCCCTCATTCCCCGCTGCACTCGGGAGTCACGCTTCACCTGTTCACCTCCCACTTACTTCCCAAAGAGTCTCATGATGCCTCTGGATTTCTTCTTGGAATCTGGGGAAGAAGGAGGCATCTGGAAAGGACTGATCCCCTGTGTGCCTTTTGGCCGAGGCGTGCCAGCCAAATCTAGGTGCTCAGGTGCATCCTTTTCTGTCTCAGCTGTACCAAAGATGGAATAAAGACCGTGTAAGCACAACTGAGTATTAAACTTCCTGGTTTTAGCCACTTGAGAACTCTTCTTTGGGTCTATAAACCAGTGATTTACAGAGAGCGCCCTCGTGAATAAAAAAAAAAAAATGTATGTAAGTGTATGTTCTATACAGCTTCCTCTTCTGCATAAAGTTAATTAGGTAAAATCACCCCTCTGAGACTAAAAATGTGTGGCGGTGCACAGAGGCTGCACAGATGTAAATCCGCCCACCCTGGAGGCTGATACAGGAGGACTGATTCTGAGACAAACTTGGGCTACAAAGTTCGACTTTCTCCTTAAAATAAAAAGTGCCCCAGGGTAGTTACATGTTTGAGTGATGTGGTTCAGGATGAGATTATGCCTCATCTAGTGGTTGGTTGGTACAGCAAACTTCCCACAGCCTCTGACATCGTCACCCGCTCTCCGGTCACGGCTGTCTCTGGAAGTGTGGCCAGGGGCCCTTCTTTGCTATAGAATCCACTTTCTAGTCTTCAAGAGTCGGCTTAGTTTCCTCTTCAGGCTCTCAGCGAGATCACTTGTCCTGAGCTTAGCACTGAAGGATGGCATTATGTTCACAGGCGGACATCGACAAAACCTCTGAGCCTGACTAACCTCACTCACCAGCTCTGTACCTGAAGACTATGCAGAGTCCCAGCTTAATGTGCCACGGACGCATGGGACTTATCAAACCCATCAGCTCCCCTGAAAGTCTGCTCTCAAATTTTATTTGACACTGAATTCAAATTCTATGCCATTTTCTTTTTGGTACCCTCTCTCCTCATCAGTTACCAAGGGCTAGCAATTCTTTCTCAAGAAATGAGTCACCGGCATGGTGGTGCACTCCCACTAAATCCCAGCACTCAGGAGGCCAAGGCAAGAAAATCTCAAGGTCAGACCAGGCTGTAGTTGAGACCCTATCTCAAGAGGGGAGAAAATAATCCTAGCCTATTATATAGTGGATATGAGAGAGCAATGACTAGGTAGGTATGTGTGAGTGCTTCTTTTGCTATAAAGTCAGTCTTTCTTGATTTGGCTTTGAAAGAATAGCATCCACACTCGCCACTAAGTCCTCCACACAAGCATGATGCTCGTTCAACTGTCCATTCCTGGAAGAACAGTCACAAGCAAAGACAGGGCTGTTGTTTTCCAAACCGTGAAACTTCACATTTTGTAAAGGGAACTAGCACTTGTTCAAAGCAATCAGGGGAAGGGCCTCAGGATTAGCAGCGGTTGCGTTTTCTATGAAGCAGAGCTGTGATTGCACGTTACAATAAGCAGCACTGGCTATAAGCATCCACGTCCGCCCTAGAAGGGTGTAGGAGCAGCTGAGGGTAGTTGTCCAACTAGAAGGATTTAGTTTGTGCGGCCAGAGCTCATTGTAAACACTTCAGGCTCCAAAGACAATGATGTCCCTTTGCTGGGACGTGTGTGTGTGTGTGTGTGTGTGTGTGTGTGTGTGTGTGAATCGGGTATCTAACAAGGTGACCGCTTCAGGGAAACCCAGGGGAATCTATGTACTCTCACACCGCAGCCATGGGCTTTGGGTACCCTGAAATTGTTCCTAGCCCAACTCATTTAGAAAGCATCACACTTCTTTATTTTATTTTTTGAAGGACTGGCTCACACTACTCCCCACAGAGAGACAGAATGAACTGCTCTTAAAAGCAGCCTGACAGACTCCCCAGATGACATGTGAAGTCACCTCTGCCGACATTAAATAGCCCTAACGCCCAAGTAATACCATGTCCAGAATGTCCCTCCACGAGCAGTAAGTCAGCTCCTGCCTGGCAACAGACATTCTGGGGGTGGGAGGGGCTGAGGTTGGTAAAACGAATACATGGAGAAGAAACACGGGCGATGCTTCAGTCATGGGTGAGGGGAGCTGGGATGTATGGCGCCAGCTCACTCCAGCCCTGCACTCAGCAGGCTGCTGGGCATTCCTAGGGCCTCCCGAGCTGCTTACAAGGTGTCAATTGCACTGGTTAAAACAGCATGTAGGCTCAGAAGCAAAGGCTCTGTGGAGTCTGCTTTAGCCAAAGACGAAGGAACACTTTGGAACAGACTACGTTTTTCTGACTGCGGCCGGCTGGCTCGGTAGAGAGCAGAGAGGCCAAGGGTGGGGCTTAGGTGGTTTGGAACGCAGCACTGGTGGAGGCTGGCATGCAGGGGTTACGATACCTAAGGTGGGTGCACTGGCACTTCGTTTACGATCTTCAGGAATCCCAAACGCACACAACACACGCAGCCCAATGGAGAGAACACAGGGTTGACAAAATGAAAACAGCTCAGGCCCCTCCCTGCAAGGCAGCTGCCCGCAGGAGGAATGCATGCACGCACTAAGACTAAGACACTGCACAGGGTCATCCATTGGGACACATTCATCCCACCACCACAGAGGGGGGCTGCCTAAACAAACTCACAGACCTGCACAGGGTTAGGGCGGCTTCATTCTGCTCTTTCTATCACTGCACAGACAGTAGGGTAAGCACTGACTTATCCTCACACTGCAAACGAAATCCACTGAGGCAATTTTGCTAACATCCCCCCGAAGGCATTCACCTTCATGTCTGAGGAAGAGAAATGCCCCCACAGACGAACGAAGGATGGGTGGGAGCAAGCCTTTCCCTCCATCTGGAAGGTCGGGACCTAGGCACCCTTGCCACACATACCGAGGTTTGGCGCACTTGCTGTCCTCTTGTTACTTTTGATTTTAAAGAAGCCTCGGCCAAAGGAGGACCTGGCCTTTCGAGTGCCAAAGGGGTTGTCATCCACGGAGGTGCCATGTCCTGGAACCTTGGGAGGCAGGGTCCCAAAAGTGTGGCTGTCGGTTGGAGCTTTATCCTGAGGGGTGATAAGAAGGTACTTGTTAGGATGCATTATCCTTAGGACAGGAAGCTGGACTCAATCAATGACACGTCACAGGACAGACAAAGTAACACACTGAGCCTGACGCCAAGTGACATTATTAAAGAACCCTGAGCAATAAGACAGCAACACAATGAGCACGTCCAACTCCATCTATAATCAATACATTTGCCGCCTTAAAAAAAAACAATTAAGGTTTCTATCTGCCTCATTCCTTCACGACATGGAGTGAAGACGCTCCATACCCAGGACGGTAGAATTCTTATTTTTGTGGCAGTTATGATGCACAGCTATAAATGAGTTTGTATCCTTAAATCACCAGTCCAGCAACCGAAGCCTGACAGTGCCCAAGCTTTAACACACAATGAGGAGAGCCTGCTCAGTATTTTACATTCTCCTCAAAGGGTAAGAGGAGGAGGACGCATTCAGCAACTGTTCCTTCTGAGCTTTCCGACTGAGTCGGCCATTAAGCCCATAAAGGACGTCTCTCTCTGCTCTGGTATCACTGAGACATCCTTCTGAACGCCTTTCTTTTCCAGCACCTCCCGCTCTCTGCTTTTCTCTGCAGAGCTGGTGAAAGGTCAAGGAGATGAGCGTGTTAACCGCAAGTCCATATGCACAACACAGTCCCTATCTACGCTCACACCGGCAAGTCCTTTGATCATTTGTTGAACAAAGAGTTGAAAAGGACCTGAATGACAGCTGTCTCCACTGCCTGCCAGCTCTGTCCCTAAGGACTCAGGCACTCAGAGCTGACAGTCAGGACCGTAGACCCTAGCGTGGTTCATGATTGGAGCCCAGGGGAAGACGTGGAACACAGGCTGATAGCCTGTTTAGAATGCCATGAACTCCATGCCTGCGCCTATGAGACGGACAGCGAATGGATAACCTACGGGCTCTCTGCAGGGCCTGGGGAAGGGGGCCGGCCACACGATGATCAAGGCACTTGACTCTAACATCCACAGAGTGGTTTTCTAATGGCAGATAGAGGCAAACTGTGGGAAAACTAGGCCTCAATGGGTCTGCCAGAAGGCCTTGACGAGAGATGACGTGGACCTATGGATGGTGACCGCATCTCCTCAGTGGCTCTCCTCCCCTGCGGCAGGGTTGAGGGGTATATAAGGTTTTCCTCTTCCCGGAGTAAACTGAGCGTGTTCCCAATGCTTGTGTCACTAGATGCCTGTGCCATTGTTGGTATCACGCTCACTTTCTCCCCAACCCCAAGGGGCACCCATCGGGATCCTGCACAGTGAACTTTTAAAGAATATTTACTTACTTATGTGTATGTGTGCCTATACACATGTGTGGGAGTGCATGTGCCCCGACACGTGTGTGCAGAGGTCCGCAGCACACAATTTGTGGGAATTATTCTTGCCCTCCAGCATGAATACCCGGGGATTTAACCTAGGCCACAGAGCTTGATGGTAAATGCCTTTTTTTTTTTTTTTTTAATACCAAAACGCCCATTTTACGTCTACCCAGTACTTACACCCTGGCCAGGGGCTGCCTGGGGACTAGCCTGAGACCACAGCAGAGCAGCCTGCACTTGTTCTATGTACAAGCTTTGCATGTCTGTATGTGTGTCAGGTACTCTCGTTCATGTGTGCATATGGAGGCTCAAGGTTGGTTGTCCTGCTCGTCACTGTATTTCCTGAGACAGCATCTCACTGAACCCGGAGCTTATAGAGTGACCGACTAGACAAGGTGGCTGGCAGAGAGAATACACGGGAGAAATCTATGCTCAGAAAAAAAGGAAGAACGAGATTAGAGGGAGGAGGACAGAACGAGGGAGTTTCCCAGGGCCAGAAGGAGGCAGCCATCAGCCAGACAGACACAGAGAATCAGTGGACATCAGGCACCCCGAGGTACAAGGTAGGTAAAAAGAAACAGGCTAATTTAAATTAAAAGAGCCAAACCCAGGCCGAGCATTCAAAACTGGTAATAAGTCTCTGTATTGGGATTTGAGCTGCTTGGTGGCCCAGAAGAGAAAGCCAGGTCCACTGTGCTCTGCTGTCTGGTGTGTCCAGGCTCTGAGCAGCAGGTGTGAAGTCACCAGCAGAGCTCTCTGGTGGTCAGCCAAAATTATGATAAATAGATGGATCCTTCTGGAAAAGTTTCCTGTATTTTTACATGATTGTACCACCCTTCAAATGCCAGAAGTGGATTCTTTCAACCACCAGTGTGGAGCCCTGGCTTGAATGGAAATCATTCGTGTGTGTGTGTGTGTGTGTGTGTGTCTGTGTGTGTGTGTGTGTCTGTGTGTGTGTGTGTGTCTGTGTAGAAGTGGCCAGTGTCCAGCAGAGTATGGTCATGGGCTTGGTTGACGTCCTGTGGTTGGTGTGTGTGTGTGTGTGTGTGTGTGTGTGTGTGTGTGTGTGTGTGGACCAGAAAGGATATTGGGTCCCTTGGAGTTTGTGAGCTGAGTGCTGGGTTCAGATCTCATAACTTTTTTTCAGACAGGGTCACTCTGTAAACCAGACTTGGCTCAAACTCATAGAGATCCACCTGCCTCCGCCTCCCAAGTGTTTGAATCCTAAGTGTGTGGCACCATGCCTAGAAAACATTAGCTTAAAAATGTGTGAGTGTGTGTGTGTATTTTATGCATATGGGTGTTTTATCTGCATGGATACCTGCACACCGGAAGGGAGTACTGCATCCCAAGGCACTACAGTTACAGAGAGTTGTAAACCACCATGTGGTTGCTAGGAATTGAACTCAGGACCTCTGGAGAAGCAGCCACTGCTCTTCACCGCTGAGCTCTTCACCCTCCATTAACTTTTTTGTTGTTGTTGTTGTTGCTGTGTTTGGAGACAAGGTTTCTCTGTGTAGTCTTGGCTGTCCTGGAACTAGCTCTGTAGACCAGGCTGGCCTCAAACTCCCAAGTGCTGGGATTAAAAGCATACATTACCACCACCTGGCTAAAATTAACTTTTTAAATAACTCAGTGGCCACCACCCCGAAGCCAAAGTCCGCAGCCCCTCCTCACCCTACCCTCTTTCCCCACACTACAGCCCTCTCTGAGGACATCCGCGCTGTACTTCACTCAGCTCATGACCTCCCTAGCTGGCCTTCTGCACACAGCACAATGCTTTGGAGACTCTGGCAGCCTTGGGCTCCTGGAATGGGGACATATACCACTCAACTCAGATGCCATAAAAGTTAAAGGACTTTTATACTTCAACTCAGATGTAAAAATTACCTCTGAAGGCTTCTGGATAGGCTCCTTTCCCTGTCTAAAAACAATGACGTTTACGGAAGGCTACTGTAAATAACTTTTAGACATTCAGTTGTCATATACATGTGTATAAATAGGAAGCCGTTTACATCACTTTTAAGCAAAAACTCTTAGCTGTATTCATTTCCAACAATGTTTCATTTTTCTCAGCCTTTCATTTAACTACTTCTAGTCTTCAAATATCGATCATTAACTGTACCATGGCAGTAATTACCCATCAGAATAACCGCAAGTTCTTCCTAACATGAATTTTCCCCGTGTGTGAAGAAAGATGCTTCCCTCGGTATTTTCTTCTCAGGGTAACAAGGGAAAAGGAAAGGAGGTGGAGGGAGAAAAAAGAAAAGAAAACAAAACCACCCCCAGAGAACTCACCAAGCCATCTGATGCCTCTTTCTTCAGGTTGCCCAGGCTGCTGGATTTTTGCAGACTTGAAGTTCTAACAACAGAAACAGCAATAATTAGAATTAACAGTGAGTTGACTCTGGTTCCTGTGTCTACACAGATCGTCTTAGAAGGAAACTAAAAACTGTCTGGGGGTTGAATCTTGGTAATAGAAGGAAACCTAGGTCCAAGCAAGCACTTATGTGCTTAAGTGAATTGCAGCATTTAGTTCTTTTAAAAGCAGGGTGGTTAACTGTCCTGCCAATAACACAAACTGTCCCTCACATGTCACAGTAGCTGGAAAAACACTTAAGCCTGCCCTGGCAATATCAGTGTTTTCCATGGACCAGTGGCACTTACACATTTACACCAGGGATTTCTTAGAAGCGTGTGCATGCACACTGTTAGATCTAATCCTTCTCCTTGAAGAATCAAAGTTCACTCTTCTTTCAAAGAGGGATGACTTTTCTGAGTCTGCCAAAGCGAAGTAAACCAGGTTTTGTGGGGCACACCAGCAATTCCAGTACTCAGGAAAGATTGCTCAACATGTGAGGGCAGCCTAGGCTATCAAGACAAAGCCTGTCTCCAAACATGAGAAAGGAGCGGAGGATGAAATTAAAGAGGAGAGGAGGGTGGGAGGGAGGAGGAAGAAAAAAAAAAAATGCAGTAAAGCAGTGTCTCTCAACCTTCCTAACGCTGCAACCCTTTAATACCAGAGAACTGTTTACACTGCTACTTCATAACTGTAATTCTGCTACTGTTACGAATCATAATGCAAAATCAGTGTCTTCTGATCTTAGTGACCCTTGTGGAAGGGTCATTCCACACATCCCCAAAGGGGTCTCAACCCACAGGTTGAGATCCTCTGCAGAAGAGGAGCCCTTGTTACTGCCCACAGTAATTAATCTGCTAGCCTAGGAAGGCAGAAGGAGTCTGCAAATCACAGAGACTTTCCCTTTTACATAATTAGCGTTCAGTTATACACAGCTGGAGATGATATTGCTCAAAAACTAAACGCACAAACATGGAGCCAGTTTCAAAAACACGGAGGGACTGGGGGTGTACTTCGGTGCCAGAGTGTGCTTGGCGCGCCGGAGGCGAGAGGCCTGATCCCAAGCAAACAAGACAAAATAGGAAGGTAAAGCAGGGAGCCAGACTAGGGGAGGGATGTGATTACTCCAAAAAACTACAACAACTATGCAACCCAACTTCTGAAGGCATCTCTGCTTTCACGTAAGAAGCTGTCAGTAGCACTGGCTGCCAAGAAACATGAAAGATAACAGAGAAACAGAAACATCTCTCCCAAGTTCTGCTCTGGAAATGGGTTTTCCTAATCTGATCCAGACGTTCACTTGCACAAACATTCACAACAGGCCAGTTTACTAAAGTCTAATGCAGAGGGCGGCCCTGCCCGCTGTCACAGCCTCTGGGAGACTTTTCTCCTGCAGTCAAAAGCACAAATGCCAGCACAAAAATGAATCGAAAGTCCTGAGCTACAAATGAACACTAACGAGGGAGACTAAAGATCTGCAAACAGCAGGCGTGAGGTGCCGGGAAAGGGGTGTTTCCTTGTAAGCATCAGCCCTCCAGCCCGGCCTGTCACGGCATCACATGCGGTCGTGTACTCATGAGGGGATCAGCCTCAACGGACCACTGTTAGTGATGGTTACCCGAGCATAACACATCTTTCCAACCTTGATCATATTTCACACTCAACAACACACCACTTACGAAAGGCCATCGCATAACTCGGCTTCAGCGGCAGCGCCCGGGATCGCTTTTCCATCACTACGATATATTTTTAAAAAGGCACCTGTTAATGTCATGAATGAAAAACCACACACGCATTTCCTAGGTTTACAATGGTGAAGTCCCAAAGAGCCCATCACTAAGGCCGATCTGTACACATTCTAAGCAAACAGAAATGTTTAAAAAAACATAATAAATAATAATGCAAAAAAAAGCTATTTCTAATTTTTAAACGTTTTGTTAGGCCTAATTCAAATTTAGGCAATCAGTCTGAGAATTTTCTGGCAGAGTATCTATTTGCCTATTGAGATGTGACTGTTCCAGTTGTGACAAGTTCAGGGTCACCCTTCAGACAGACTCATGGCACCCAGCCTTCACCTTCTGACAGTCACCAGGTTACCCCCAAGTTCCCTAACGGCCCTCTACCTCACTCCCTCATTCCCCAGGGTCCTCTCCTGTCACTTCCCGATTCCTACGTTTCACTTAACATTACGGAACCGATGGTAAAAAGAGCGTCTGTAAATGAGTGTGACGCGTTCCTATCGTTTGGGAACTCCATTTCTCTGAACACTGATGTCAAAATGTTAGTCCATAAATAACATACTTCTCTTCAAACGAAGCCTCAGGCTTAGTAGGCAACTTGGACTTTTCAGAGGTTTCCACACCCACAGACGGTAATAACAGTGACGAGACTGAAGCCTGCAGGATGCTGGTGTGAAACTGCAAAAGATTATGAGTAAAAAGAAAATCAACCAAACACGCAAAACAAAGTAGCAAAACATAACAGAATTGGTCTATCTAAATCGTATACACCCGTATTTATAAAATCACCCCAGGGCACAAACATCTCTGTAAATGAGGTATTAATGGAAGGAAACACCGTGGAGCTTGATTTGGTTCTAAGACAGAGAATACCCTGAATAAGAAAGTACCTCACACCACAGAAAGCACTGAGGTCTGATCACGTTAAAAGCCCACAGAATGCCAGCGCCACGGCACTGACTCCTCTCTTCAGCACAAACACATGGTAAACAAAGCACTAACACATAACATACGTCATGTGTGTTAATATTCTTTTATGTGTGAACAAGGCGATTAAGCTCAACTGTCATAACTGACGAAAAATGCATTAAAATCAGCTAGAACATACTCTGCAGTTACCAGTTAACATACTTGATGTAGTAACAGCCACACCGTAAAACAATAAAATGTAGACCCCATTTTCTCAAACACCTCTGGGTCCTAGGGCTGTAGTGTTCCGTAATAAATGGGAACAGGGGAAGAGAGTGTGACTGGCATCAAGGGCTCACAAAGGAAACACTAAAAAAATTGTTCAGTGAACCCCAGGTCAGCCAATCAGTGGTCTCCTCATTTAACTATTTGCTGGCTTGGCATACCTCCAGTGTTTCAACACCGAGCCATATTCCCAGCCATACTTCTGTCTTCCCTCGCTCTTTAATTTTTATTATTTTTTAAAGTTAAAAATTTAATCGTAATATTCTCCCTTTCCTACCAACTCCACGTACCTTCCTTCATTCTCTCTCTCTCTCTCTCTCTCTCTCTCTCTCTCTCTCTCTCTCTCTCAATCTCTCTCTCACACACACCCTCTTTTCTAACTCTCTTTTTGCTCAGGATCTCCTACATAGCCTAGGCCAGCCATGAGCTCAACCTCCTATGAGATTACAGGTGTGCATCCTACACGCCTGCACTAGCCTGGCTGCTTACTCTCAGTGTGCCAGGCAGAGACAGAGTGGACACACGCCAACGCCAACTACTTAATCAGCAACAGTTTCACCCACCAACAGGCAGCCTCTCCTGCCTCTGAGCTCCCAGAACCCAAAAACCAGGGGCGGCAAGATGGAGTTGGGTGTGCTTAGCCAGCAAAGCTCGACTTGATGAAGAAGCAACGGACTCAGCTCGTCAGTTTTGCCCATTATTGAGTGATGGCACCATGGAAACTCATAAAACACCATTATTACTGTAACACAGAGCTCTGTTCTGTTCTTGTTTTTATTTTATTTTATTTTCGTGGTTGGGTTTTGGTTTGAGTCTTTGCAGTCAATGCTCAGTAATCTCTTTAGCACTCATCCTGAAGTTCAACGATTTCCCTGGACTCCTAATTATGGGGAAAATGCACTAACACACTGACCTGTTTCTTTGATTTCTCTTTCAAACTTTAAGGTTTCAGTTCCAACTTCAATTTTTTTCCCCTGCTGGCTTTCCTTTAAAAATAAGGTTGAACTCTATCAATTCTCTTCACACCATTTTTGTTCAGTTTGGAGCAATCGTTTACGACAAACAAAACATCACTGAACTGGAATTCATGAAGGCTGGAGAGATGGCTCAATAGTTACTGGTTGCTCATCCGGGGAACCTGGGTTCAGTTCCCGGCATGGTGGATCACAATGTCTGTTACAGACTCCAGTTCCAGGGGATCTGGTGCCCTCTTCTGACCACTCTGGAAACTGCATGCATGCAGAGTGCACTCATGCACATACAATATATAGAAACAAACCTTTAAGCCAAGACTCATGCAGCAAACACTGTAGAATAATCTGGTATATTCTACATATATAAGGACTCCCTCTCTACATGCAGCACACTTATTGGCTATCAAAGTCTGCCCCCTCTCCTATCCCCACCCCTGCCCAAGACTGAGGCAGGAAGATCACTGGTTCTATGCTGTCTTGGGCTACAAAGTGAGCCTCTGTCTCAATATAAAACAAAAGCACTGTCCCCTCTCAATATAAACATATTTAAAAAGCATGGAGCGGAGCTTCTTCCTGTATCTTATTTCATAACTAAAATCTTGATTAGTGAACTGTTCCAGTACTCTCTAAAAGTTAAACGCCCAATGTTAGTGGTTTTCTCTTTGAATTAATTTTCACTCAATTCGACGTTTGCTTTCTCGGGACTGGTGGTGTAGCTTAATGCAGAGCATTTGCATTCATTAAGATGCCCAGAATTGAAAGGGGAGAAAAACAGGACTAGAAAAAGAGATTCATCACCAAACATTAATTTTTCATTATGGGATTATGAACAACAGATGGAGAGAAGGGAGGGAAGGTGAAAGGCAGCAGCTGTGGGCAGAGCAGCACTGAGCTGAACGAGACCGTCCCGGCTCCTGACTCTCCGGACAGCAATTATACTAAGATGTGGTGTGACCTCGGGGCAAAGGCCACCCTGCACTCGGGGAATCCGGGGACAGGTACTGCCGGCTATTAGACTCTACCCAGTGGCCCTGAAGGGAGCCTGGGCCCTGGGAGGCAGTAAGGAATTGTGGTAATATATTCTTTATGACTTATTAAAACCACCGGAGATAAAAATAGCAAAGCAGCCACACCAGTCAGCCATAGAGGCCAGGCAGTGGAGGCACACACCTTTAATCCCAGCACTCAGGAGACAAAGGCAGATGGATCTCTGTGAGTTCAAGGCCACCCTGGGCTGCTCACGCCTTTAATGCCAGAAACAGGGTCTCAGAGCTGGCATTCATTCTCCAGCCACACTGAGGACAGTAAGGCTCTGAATTCTCCAGCCACAATGAGGATAGCAAGGCGCTGAATTCTTCAGCCACGCTGAGAGGTTTCAGCTTGGGCTTGGTGAGAGCTCGTGGAGACAGGATCAGCCCTTTCAGCCTGAGCTAGAGGTGAGAGCTAGTGGCCGGCTGCTTTGCTTCTCTGACCTTCAGCCCGAAGACTGAAGCCCAGTATCTGTCTCTGGGTCCCTTACTTATCGTTCTACAAGGAATGCTCAGACAAGCGTGTCTCTAATGCGGTGGACTGAGGTGCCGAGGGCGTTCTATTTGTGAAGTCAGGCACCGAATCAGCTCAAGTGGGCAGGCACAGCAGGGGACGAGAGGCGGTGTGGACCTCAACGGCACTTTACAAAGCGGGGACGACAATCATTTGAACACGTTTCGAGGGGGAAAGAACACGGACCGTGGACATGGCCAGAAGAACGATGAGCGCTGAAGCTGGGAGCTGGCCGCCGATGAGACTACCTGTCCAGCTGGGTTTGGAACTCTTATGGACCAGGGACAGGCGTGTGCCTTCATCTTCCCCTCCTTAAGTGGTGTGTGCAGCCGTTACCCATTCCTGACTCATCAGTCGTGCTGGGTGTGGTGACAGATGTTGTGTTAGGTTAGGTCCCAGCACCGTTACGTTGTTCAGAGCGATGCTCTTGGAACTCCCTGAGGGACCGCTACACATCGCCCTGAATGGAAGACAACTCCTGGGAAGGACATTTGAAGATCTTTGGAGAAGGGAAGGCCTCATTTTAAATGTGAGAAGGCGCAAGCTGGTTAAATGGTGATTGTTTTCCAGAATCATTGCACCGTGTGCTCTCGCGCTGTGGCGCCTTGAACCTTAAGATGTAGATCGTATGTTCTCTATGAATCTGGCTGAGTTGTGGCTGCAGCAGAGATGCAAATGACTTCTGAGTTAAGGAGATGCGTCCTCAGGACGCTCTCACCACGGGACTGTGAGGCAGCCAAGCTGTCTTAGGCAGTTCTAATAGGATGCCTCCATAACCAGACAGTGCAGTGACAAGCCTCCCTGCTGCTCCTGGGCGGGGCAGACACACGTGGGGTGCCCCTGCCGGTATCTGCCCAGAGTTCGGGGCTGGTATGCAGCACACAACTAACAGACGGTCCCGCCACTTAGATGAACGTAGATGAATCAAAGACTTCACTGTCCTCGGATTGCTTTTTCAGTCACAACCAAACCAGGCTTGTTCATACACCTCACCTACCTTCACCTGACTCACTTGGTATTCAGTCTTTAAGAGGGCAGACTGTAATCTCCCATTTTAGGGAATCTATCGCAAAGGTGCTCATAATTTTGTTTTTGAGACCAGGGTCCTTCTAGGCTGCTCTCAAATTTCCATCAGCCTCAGCCTCTTACACAGCTGGATCTACAGGCACATGCCTAGTTTTTATTGAGTTTGTGACTCTGCCCAAAGCATCCATTAGAAAGAGGAGGAAGCACACATTTAAGAAGGAAAAGAGGCTGCCAGCACACGGGAACAGACAGAATGGGCCAATGGCGACGGCACCAGCAGCGAACACAGCCATGAAGACACAGCCCGTTAACACTAACGGTGTCTGTGGAGGTACCTCTTCCGGAGCACTCGTGTTGAACAGGTCTCTGCTGGGAGGCCCCAGCCCTGATGCAGAAGAGGTGCTTCTCTCCAGGTCACTGCAGCCCTGTGCGTCCAGCAGGGTGGTGCTGGAGCTGGAGTGGAACAGACCCTCACACGCACCATCCTGGCCTGGAAAAGACGGAGTACATGCTGCTGTAGTTCACTTTGGCAGGAGAATCAATAATCACAACATGTAACACGAAAAATAAAAGACCCAGAGGCAGATTTTGGGGTTCAGTCTTCAAGCTGAAGATCGGAGAAGCAAAGCAGCCAAGCCAGGAGCTCTTACTTCTACCCAGCTGAAATGGCTATCCGCTCTCCAGGAATCCTCAGGGGCAAAAGGCTCTGAGCTCCTGTCTCCTCCTCCTCATATCCCTCTCTCTGCCCAGCCATGTCCTCCTGTCTCCTCTTCCCCGTGTGTGAGCTGTTTCTTTAAGACTGGGTCAATTTTGTGTAGTCAGTGTGGCCTTGAACTAACAGAGATAGATCCAGCTACCTCCTTCTTAATGCTGAGTCCAGGGATTAAAGATGTGTACCACCACTGCCTGAACTCTATAGCTTAAGGCTGACTTTACTTTCTGAATCCCCGGCAAGCTTTAATAAATCATAAATAATACATCACCACAAAGAATCATAACTATGCATTTCTTTTCTTTCTTTTTGTTAAATATGCACTGCACTGCTAAGCCACTGAGCCAGCCCAAAACATAAACAGCCATGGTTCCCTGGCTTCATATGAAAATCAGCTACACACAGAACCTAGCGATGGGAGATGTCATTCTGTATATATGTTTCTCTTATTGGTTAATGAATAAAGCCCTGTTGGCCAATAGGAAAGCAAGATAGGCGGGACTAGGAAACAAGGAGGATTCTGGGAGATGTAGTAGACAGAAGTCAAGATGTAGGACGTGACAGAAGCAGTCCAGACCCTCTCTCCAGTTAAGATGAGACTACATGGAAACACTTGGATGGATGGAAATGAGTTAATATTTAAGACAGAGCTAGGTAAGTCCCAACAGTTTTATATCTAATACCGCGTCTCTGTGTGTTATTTGGGGCTGACGTGGCTCTGGGACCAGGCTGGCGGGGAAAACTGCTTGTAACAACCTAGGATAGAGATCTTAAACTATGAGTAACTAAGGCCTATTACCCAGGTCATACTAAGTACCCACCAGTGGTATTAACAGAAGGAGTCAGGTTTGATACAGCACTGACAGAAAAGATGTTTCCGAAAAAGAAACAAATCCAAATTTATTCCAAGAATACACTGTAATTTTGCTTTAAAATCCCCAGGCTTTATAAATATTAGTTTAGCCTGGTTTGGGAACTCTTACCTGTAATCCTGGCACTCAAGAAGTGGGAGCCGAGGAATCAGAAATTCAAAATCATCTTTGGCTACTTAACAAGTTCAAGGCCAGCCTGGGCTATATGAGACCCTATCTCAAAAAAGTTAGATTGATCTATCTATGTATCATCTATCCATCCATCCATCCATCCATCCATCCATCCATCCATCCATCCATCCATCCACCTACCTACCTATTGAAAGGGTTAAACTAAACACAAAAAGGCTTCAAGCCTTCAGAACACACCCAGGCCACCCTTGCCCCTAGCCTCAAGGAAATTTAGTTGTGTTGTGAGTAACAGGCCACCTGTAAGAAACAAGTATGAAGGACCAAAAATAAACACAAAACTCCAAGACAACCTTCCTCTTAGCCTTGGTACCTGGAAACTGTGTTTGGCCACAAAGAGACTCCAAGAGACAGACAAAGCCATAGAAAACACAGAATGTTCCCTCCCAGCACCACCAATGAGAACACCTGCCAGTAACAAAGTCTGGAAACCACCAAATGTTCCCATTTGTAGGCAACCAATCAAAAAGGTTAACAGACCAGTTACCCTGACTCCCAAGAAATTCCCCTAATTGTTGCCCAAATGTCAACCAATCAGGGTGTGACCCATGCCTCTCCCTACCTACTGATGTAATCCTGTGATTTTTGTCTTTAAAACTCCTGCAGTAGACTAGGTGGCCACTTTCTATGGAGGCTGCTGCATCAGCTAACTAGACAAAGTCCCCATCATGGTTGGATGGAACAATAAACCTCGCTTTTGCAGTTCGGTGGGTCTGTCTCCCTAGTGGTCTGTGGGGATCTTCTCCACTTGGGCCTAACACCTATCAACTGTATTCACCTACTCACTTATCTCCTTCCTAGATTCCTATCTATTCCAGCTCGCCCCACTACACCATAATTTTATTAAGATTTATTTGACTTTTATTTATGACTGTGTGTATGTATACCATGTGGGTGATCGTGTCCACAGAGGCCAGAGGAGGGTGCTGCATGCCTTGGGACTGGAGCTACAAGTGGTTATGGGAACCAAACTCCAGTCCTCTGCCATTGAGCAATCTCTCCAACACAGCCATAGCTTTTAAATTGAGGGTTTACTGCAATTTTATCCCAATTTCACTAGATTTTAAATGTTATTAGAGTTTTGGGGGGGGCTGGAGAGATGGCTCGGTGGTTAAGAGCACTGGCTGCTCTTCCAGAGGACCTGGGTTCAATTCCCAGCAGCCACATAGTAGCTCATGGCTGTCTATAACGCCAAGAGCTGATACCTTCACTCAAACATATATGTAGGCAAAACACCAATGCGCATAAAATAAAAATAAATAATAGAGTTTTGGGAAGAGTAAAAAGGTAACTGAATAAATAGGTCTTAGGGAGGAAACACTTTTTATGGAGCTCTCCACCATAGCAGCGCATGATTTCCGTGACGTGTGCTATGGCTCAGTGGGAAATGGGGCTTGCTGCTAAGCCAGATGACGTGAGTTCTAGGCCTAGACCCCACATGGCAGGAGAAAACTTGCTCTCACAAGTTATCCTTGGTGTGGTTATCCTCATGGACAGTGGGCAGCTTCATTATGAATAAAAAAGATGATATCCACTGCAATCTATTTATCTGTTTGTTTTGAATCTCCTGGTCCAAAGTAGAGAATCTTTTTTTTTCTTTTGATTCATTAATTCATCAGCATTAAAACTTCTGAGAGTGTAGCTTAGTGGCAGAACCCTTACCTAGCATGTTCAAGGCAGATTCCAAGCACTAACAAATAAATTAATTTTAAATATAAAATTTCAAACTCCTGGGTATTTCACAACTATTCTTGTGCTGGCTAGCTTTTATGTCAACCTGACACTGGCTACAATCATCTGGGAGGAGAAAATGCCCCCACCTGATTATTAGGCTGTGGGCAAGCCTGCCTGGCATTTTCTTGACTAGTAATTGATGGGAAAGAGCCCAGCCCATTGTGAATGATGCCACCTCTGGCCTGGTGGTCCTGAGGGTCCATAAATAAACAGGCTGAGCAAGCCAGTAAGCAGCACCCTCCATGGCCTCTGCTTCAGCTCCTGTCTCCAGGTTCCTGCCCTGTGTGAGTCCCTGCCCTGAACTTCCCTCAGTGATGGACAATGATGTGGAAAGGTAAGCTGAAAGAAAGGCTTTTCCTTTCCAAGCTGCTTTCGGGCATGGTGTTTTTGGCAGAGCACAAGAGCCCTAACTAAAACATCTCTTGAACGCAATCCATGCTTTCAATGCTTCTCATCGTTAGGGTGACAACGACCCGCATATTCATAGGAACAAGTCCTCTAACATTCTGTCTGTTTCCAATGACCCTCGGTCTGTCCACATTTGAGAATGGTCCTCTGCAGGTGAGGCAATAGAACTTCACATGTTCAAAGAGGAGCTCACACTCCCTGGCCTCGGTAAATGGCACCATCACTTATGGGTGGCTTTAGCCACAAATGTCTATGTTTGTTGATTTATTTTCCTTTGCTTCATGCCCATCAGCTACTTCAGCCTATCACAGCCTTACCACATCTCCTCAGTGCAGACCCCCAGTCTCTGCAGTCACAGTGACTGCAAGAGTCTTCTGACTAACTCCCTGCTCCTGATACTGGTGTTTCTCATGGCAAAGGTCATGTTGCAAACTTGTTATTCAGCCCCTTGTCCCAGGCTGGGGGTGTAGCTCCGTGCACGGCCCTAGGTTCAAGATCTCAGGCCAACAAAACAAAACCTCACTGGATTCTCTGCACTTGTTTAAGAGCAGATGTCCAGCCCTACTGAGAGTCCTCTCGTGACATCACGCCACACCCTCCCCAGGATTCCAGACATACTGGTTTTTCTTCCAGTGCCTAGCACTATGTCAATACACACGCAAGCCACCCAATCTGGGATAATGAACCACATTAAGAAATTGAGTCCAAACATGTAAGCTCAATGCTGGCTAACTTTAAGTGGAGAGTAGGAAGGTTTCCAGGAATTACTCTACTTTATTACCTTGGGCCAGAATCGCTGGGTCCTGCATTTTCTTGTACCTGTTCAGGTACTGCCGGAGATCTTCTATCTTCCGATCCTGTGAATAACACAAACCATCACCACTACTGTAGTTTTCAAACAGTAAAGGTAAGTTCTGTGAACTGTTTACATTCCTTGAAAACACTTCCAAACTCTAGTAAAAGTGGCAATATCTGTATTTTTCCTGTGTGTATCACAGGCGTATATATGAACAGCACCTCTGAGCTTACAAATTCTTTAACCTGCCATCTTTAAAAATAAAACTGATATAACAGCATTTAACAACAATAAAATCAAGGGCCAGTGATACAGCTCAGTGGTAGAGACCCAACATTGACCCCGATGACTTGTGTTTGATCCCAGTGGATAAAATTCCAGAGTTCACATCCCCAGCATACACATAAAAGCCAGGTATGTGAGCAGTAACCTCAGCACTTCAGGAAAGGGTTAGAAAGATAGAAAAGGATTCCCACGGCCTACTGACCAGAGGCTAGTCTAGCTCAAACACCAAGCTCCAGGGTCGATGAATGTCTCAAAGATAAGATGGAGAATAGGGTGACATTTGAAGTCAGCCTGACCTTAACTTCAGCTTTCATATGCTCGGGCGCGCACGCTTGCACACACAAACACGCACGCACGCACGCAGAAGATACGAGGAAATAGTAAATATATGAAAAAGATTAGCAAGCAATGGAGGAAGTCATTAGAAAGAAGAACTATCTCTTGGGCATTTTGTAGTTTTTTACTCCTTGGAATTAGTCTTTTCTGGGAAATGTCCCTTTGCTCCACTCACTAAGGGACGAGAGAGAGAGAGAGAGAGAGAGAGAGAGAGAGAGAGAGAGAGAGAGAGAGAGAGAGAGGGGCAGGCGCCCTGGTGTTATAAGCTGAATCCGACGGTTGTCAGGCAACCAGGGTCTGCCAGGACAGGTCTTTGTTTAGGAAGACACTGAAAGCCATTATGGGTGAGGGAACCAGCGCACAGCAAAGAGCCCAACTGACACCAGCGGGGGCCAAGAGTGACCCAGGGCCCTGTCTGCTCTCTGTCATTTCACTCCCGGAAGCCGAGACCATCCCAGGTATGGCCGACGCCAGGAGTGCAGTGACAGACGCCCCAGTGTTTCCACAGCGGTGTTTCCACAGCGGTGTGCTATCCTCTCTCTCCGAGGCTGTGTGTGCCTCTGTGAAGGTGGGCTCCACCCTTCAGAGGTGATGGTGGCCCAGAGTTCCCAGAATATACCGTGCAATGGCCCTACCCTCTCATCTAAATGTAGAGGACTCCGAGGGCCTCAGTATTTTCTAAATCCAAACAGGGAAGGAGGCCATCAGGATTTCCTTGGAACCTAGGCTGCTGGCCTCTCTCTATTCTGTATACACACACACACACACACACACACACACACACACACACTAACTCACACACACACACACTCACACACACACTCACTCACTCACACACACTCATACACATTCACACACACACTCAAACACTCACACACACACTCTCTCTCTATCACACACACACACACACACACACACACACACACACACACGTGTGAAGTCACCGAAAAAGTGCACACTCAGGCAGGGACAGACAAGGAGGGCCCTTAACGTGAGTGGAATCCTGAGTATGTCCTGTCCAGGTGGAGCAGCTCAAGGAACTGTACGCAACAGCCATGATGATACTGCAGAGCATAACAAGACCGAGACTTAAGTCCCAACTGCACCTTCTCTTCATTTGCTGCCATCAGGGACTCCACAGCCTTTTTCAGCTTTTGTACTTCGATGTCTGAAAATGAAGCAACATTGTTAGGAGGCTCGTCAGCTAACCCGTAACCAGTGAGGGCAGCCGCCGCGTGCTCTTCTGTCTGGAAAGTTTCAGGGTAAGCATGGCAAGGGTCCTCCCTTAGGGACAGTAAGAGGTGAGCGCTTTCTACCTCACCCACACAGCTGTCGCTCCAGAAAGACAGCAATGTGGGCGGGGGAGGAGCAGAGACCCCTCCTTAGAGAACGGACAAAGCCCTGCTCTATAAACACTGACGATGACAGATGGACGCAGCAGCAAGGACAGTACAGAGTTTTCAAAAACAGAGTGGCGGGCAGTGAGTGAGCGCAGCCGAGGGTGGCATTCACAGTGACCAAGGCAGAGTGGCGGTGCTCAGTCACAACCAAGCTGGAGATGCCACGCTGAGAGCCCGAGCCTGTGTTCGTGTGAGCAGGCATGCTGAGAAGCCAGCAGTCGGTCCGCAGACGGCAGAGTGCCCTGCGTCATCTACAAGCCTCATTTCTAAACTGTCCTAAAACAGACACCGCAGCCACCGTGAGCAGAATGTGACTCTCCTTAAAATCTGGTAACCAAGTACAAGTGTTACTTGAAACATGGAAACTTAAAGTTCTTTTCATAAAAAATGAAATTCAACCCTAAGTGAGCCTACCATTAAAACACGGAAACAAAAAAGAAAAAAACAGGGAATATGGGAACAGGAGAATATATAGCTAAAGTTACCAACTTATGGAGGATTCTAGTGATTTTAAAAACTGTACTGATGCATTTTCAATTAGGAACTGCTGAGGTTTGTTTGTTTTAAAGCAAGCTCCCTTAACCTATGAATTCACGCTCTGCGGTCAAGTAAGGATTTACGTTTATGGGGCTCCGTAAAGCTCCACAGTAGACCTCACACATAGCAATGAGTCCTGAAGCAGATGGAGCGAAGCTCAGCACAGGCTCCGGCCATGGTGACTGGGGCCGAGTCTCCGCAGATCTGTGTGCTGTGTTGTCCTCTGGATCTGTGTCACCCACACCACAGGGACCAGGCTGTCTGAGCTCCCTTCTCTGGGTGGCCTGCCCACTCTGGGAAGCGAATGGGCGCAGGACAAGCCTGTAACAAGATCCTTTCCTCCTTATGGTCTGCCTGTCTAGCCTCTGCTCTGTACGCCGTGAAGAAATGGGGGGGGGGGGCTTGTTGATGAAGCAGCTGCACGTGTTTAGTGGCAGAAATGTTTTAAACATGCGAAGGACGGAGTAGCATTGCTGGCAAACGAGAGGCTGTTGGGAACGACCAAAACCTTACTTTTCTCTTTGAGCTTCTTTTTAACATTTTCATCTGCACAGGAAAACCCATCGGACTGGAAGTCAGCATACGTCACAACAAAAACTCTACCCTAAAAAACCCTGGAACTCTAATCTCCAAAATAACCCAGGCAAGGAGGCAGGTCCACTGGGGACACAGGGTCAGGGTCAGACTGCCATGAGGTTTCCTAAACCCTGGTGTTCAGATCCCATACTTAGCTGGCCCCGTGGTGACAAAGAGCAGTTCAGGCTGCTTCCAATCCCCAATCCCGAGTGGGCAGCACTCCCCACATAAATCTCTAGCCCACACGCACCCCCTATAAAAGCTGGCCACCATTGTGATTAGCAGCTCTCCTTAGTTCACAGCATTTTAACAGAGCAAGGTGTCAAGTGACAGACAGCCGGTCTTACCTCGATCAAGGATTTCCATGCCATCTCCCTTTGCCTTGCAAAGCACTCTCTCCTGGAGCCTTTTTACTTCACATTCCTTCTCCTCCAGTTGATCTTTTAAAGATGTCAATTCATCCTATGAAATCACAAATTTGTTTTACAACAGTAGACTATGGCAGGAGAGGAATATTTGTAGAGCATAAATAGCCCTGTAAGTCAAAACTCAGACTACGTGAATGAGACAAAAATCTGCAAAAACGTACACACAAACACAAATTAGACAGAGCGATGGTAAGCATTACTAATATGAGTAATCTGTGATAATTACAGTGTGGTTGTTTTAAGTTCATGAGTAAATGTAAGCAGAAACAGAAGAATAACCAGGATATGGTATTCGCTGAAGTTCTGTCTGCATTAAATCAAAAAGTCTCACCAAGTTAATCAAAGAAGATGGCCAAAATTAGACACTCGTCATAAAAGTGAAATAAAATACAAATTCAAAAACGCTTGCTTGGATTCCTCAGCATTTCAAGGTGACACTCAATGATTCTGGGATAAAAACTGGGTGTCAGTAGGCAAGGGTGACTGTGACCAAATCGTGGCTCACATAACTGACCCTCATCACTGAGTGAGACAGACTTCTGCAGCAATGGGAAAGAGGAAACTAGAAAGAGAGGATTTAAGCCTTCCTTTTGATGGCGTACCTGAAAAAGCTTCTGAGGCCGCTGATGCATTTGCTAACATTTTAAATTTCAGTTTTGCTTTACAAAGCACCAGCTGCTGAGGCAGAAACTAGTTGTGCAATGGCAGCACACCTGCCTTTTATTCAGTGTGGCAGAATCTTCACTCAGCTTTCTGTATGTGCAGTGCTGTGGAAAAGCCACGCAGGAGGCCAGGTTGGCCTAGTACTCCTGACTTACGCTAAGGACGGAGTCAAGTTCAGAAACCGTCATCGCCCTGCAAGCTGCGCTAGCCCATCCTCCTGCAGGGCTCTTCCCCGCCATAATGGCGGACTCATCATACACACTGACCTTCCAGAAAACCCTAACAGAGGAGGGCAGGCTCCAGTTATTGAGGTGGAAGTCTTCCACAGCTGAACTTTTAGCAATTATTTTATTATGCTTGGGGGTCAGATTGTCTAAGAAAAAAGCTTATAAGCTAAGACTTTCATATTTTACCTGTTTATTATTTACACTAGTGTAGTGATCTCACTGTCCTTTTAATCAGGGAGTATGTATTCTTAATGAACAGGTCTCTCTCTCTCTCTCACACACACACACACACACACACAATAAATGCGCATGCTACTAAAAAACACTATCACAGCAAAAAAACGACACAAGCCAGAAGGCAACAGCCACGGGGGCCCCGACAGAGTCTACCACACCTTCAGCGACTCCCATTTCTGCTCCATCTGCTGCTTTTCATACTGCATCTGACCCACCTTGATTTTCATGCTAGAAAGTTTGGCCATTAAAGACTGGTAGAGAAGACAGAGGAATGAGAAAAGACAAGGCAGGAGAAGGCAAAGGGACCAAGAAACAGCATCCGTTCATGAGGAAGCTTAGCTAATTCATAGACAGCATTAATCAAGCCCCGGGTCCACTGGGAACTCTAGCAGGTAAGCTCGGCGTCTCGAGCTTCAGGGAAACACCGTTTACTCCTAAGATATGTTTGCTATCATGTACTAGCTGGAGAGCACTTTTTTTTTTTTTTTTTTTTTTAAATAAGATTGCTTACGGAGGGGTAGACCATGTTTAAAAAAGAAAAAAAGGAGAGAGAAACTTACCTTAGTTGACTTAAGTTTTTTCTCATACTGAAGTCTTTCACTGTCCATTTCACTGACTTTTAACCTCAAGTCATTTATCTCTTGTATTAGCCCCTGTTCAAAAAAAAAAAAAAAGAAAAGAAAAGAAAAGAAAAGAAAGTTAATTAGAAAAGGGTATAGCACAGTTCCCAAAGGAGCAGCCAGAAAGGCCGAAGCCAGCAACAGCTCCTCAGATATGAGCGGGGAGATCCGGTGACATTTATCCCTGACAGCCAAAGCACCCTTGCACTAACAACACCGTAACTGAAGTTCCCAGGACCTCTGCCCCCAAGGGCTGGGCTTATGAAAACTAATGCAACCATGATTCTGACTGCAAAAATGCCGCTGCTGGAACGCTGTGGAATTACCCTCCTGTACACTGTAAATGCATGTTACTCTCATTGGTCAGTAAAGACCTGACTGGCCCGTGGCCAGGCAGGAATTATAGGCAAGACAACCAAACTAAGGATGCTGGGATGAAGAAGCATGGAGTCGAAGGAGAGATGCCAGCCAGCCTGCCAGCCGAGGAAGCAGGGCGCGTAGGGAAAAAGGTACCAAGTCACATGACAAGGGAATAGATAAGACATGTGGGTTAGTTAAAATGTAAGCGTTAGCAAGGAACAAGCCTGAGCTACTGGCTGAGCATCTGTAATTAATATAAGCCTCGGTGTGTTTATCAGGGTGCTGTTGGTGGAGCAGAAACTCCTGCCTACAGTTGGAACCCCTGAACCAAGTGCCCCAGGTGGGTCCTGCAGGCTGAACCTTTGACCACTAGGGGCGAGCCCTGAAAGGGGACTGCGGGGCCTGGTGCCTTCCGCTCCTTTCTGCTTCCTGGGCATGCGGTAAGTAGTTTTCTTGTGCCGCACACTTGGGGATAATGTGTTGACTGGCTCTCAAGCAATGGGGTCTGCCCACTGATCATGGACTAAAATCTCAACAGCTGTGGGCTAAAATAAACTGTCTCTTTATAAGCCGTCCCGGGTAACTGTCACGGTGATGTGTCCCAGGTCACGGTGCCTCACTGGGTAAGACAGGGTGGGAAGGCAAGTCCGGTACACTGGCTCCTCACGGACTCGCTCACCTGGCTCATGCTCACTTTGCTTTCCTACATAGTCCAGGAGATGGACGCCCACAGCGGGCTGGGCCTGCCATATCAGTTAGGACAAGCAAGACGATTCCTCACACTCAGGTTCACAGACCAACACGGACTAATACAAACGACTCACTGGGGCTGTCGACTAGTGAGTGAACCGAGGCTCAAGGCCACTTGGCACCCATTCCTGTAAGCAAACAATCTACGGACCCCACCCTAACCCTGCCTTGTCACAAAAACTAGAGGTTTTCTCTGGCATAACCATTTACCTTAATATCCTTTTCTGTGACACATTAGTAGTTATTTGAAGGTTTCTGTAATTGTTTGCCTAGTCTACAAAAATGTAGACTTAAATTTCTTTAAACCACAAATCTCGACCTGAAGGTAGGGGGTCTTGTGTGTGTGTTCATATATTCATATATCTAACGCAAAACAATGATGTAATTTTATATGTATATTTTTAAACATCCAAAAGACTTCATAACAGAATATATTTAACACCATTTCTGTCACCTTTAAAACGTGCTTTTAAATTTTGCCCAAATATTCTGAATTCAAGTTTAAAAAGAGTCAGTTCCCTCATCCATCTGTTCATCTTCCCTGCGTGGAGTCAGGAATGGCTGTCCTTCCCTTGGTCTTTTAACTTTGGTATTGTTAGAAGGCAGCTTTGAGCTCCCAGCAGGCATTGCTGTAAACACTGCCGCTTCATTTAGTGGTGACGGTAAAGATTATAAAGAAACGACTATAGAAAACTGAACTATACATTGAGGCCATTTTCCTTCAAAACAAACAAACTATCCAAGCCAGGTAGTGGTGGCACACACATTGAATCCCAGCACTAGGGAGGCAGAGGCAGGTGGATCTCATGAGTTCTAGGCCGGCCTGGTCTACAGAGGGAATTTCAAGACAGTCAGGGCTACATAGAGAAACCCTGTATGGAACTCCCCCCAAAAGGAGGCAAAAAACCAAAGCTATCCAATTGTTTTTTGTGGCAATGCATTTTAAATATGAATTAAAGGCCCAACATGAGAGAAGTTAGATGTGCCATGAAAAGTGTGGCTGGAAAATTTGGCACTGTATCCTTTAGGATATATATAATTAGTTCAGCCTCCTTTCTGAGCTCTGCATTTTGGCCATCTGTGCTCATACCAGAAGGGGGCGCTGTTGAATGAGCCAACCATCTCCCAGTAACAAGTTCCAGGACAGGAAAGTTATAAGTCTTCAAGGTTTAAAGAAGACTTTAATGCACTATTTTTGGAAATGCCTGTAAGTGTTCCTTACTTCAACATTTTCTTGGACGCTAATATCCAAACTCTCTAAAATTTTCAAATAGTGGCAAGATTTGGGACTGCAGAAATAGCTAGGTAAATGTTTTATTTTTAAGGAAACATTAAGCCAGAACATGTACATATTCCATACTGTTTCAACGTTTGAAGACTATTTTGATAATTTTTACATAAAAATCACAATTATCAAATAGTCTGCAACCTGCCCTGTGAATATGCGTGCTCCACTTTATCAGCAGTGTGGACTATTTCTTAGAAAATAATGAGGGACTGCGTTTCCTAGCAGTGTGTTCATGTTGTCACTTGGCATCTGAATGAGAGTATGTGAGCAGAATGGGAACAGGAGAAACAAGGTATGACACACAACGCAGGCAAACTCAAGCCATATGGGTGCTGCTCTGTGACCCCACCAAAAAGGTCAGAGCCACCATGTGCGGTTCAGTTCCCCTGACTGAGTAACCCCTCACCCAGATTAAACTAAGCACAGCCTCCTCGGCTCCATCTGCAGCCCCAGCCACTGCTTAAGTGTGAAGCCAGGGGATGACGGAATGAGGAAAAAGGAAAAACCTGCACAGATTCTTGCCGAAAGCATTAAAATAGAGCCGATGGTGTGACGCCAGGTGGCGGTGGCCCACACCTTTAATCCCAGCAGACGAAGGTGGATCTCTGAGTTTGAGGAACACTAAAATACGACTGGGTCACACTCCTGCCTGCTTTCAGATGCTCAGTCCTGATTAAGGCAGAATGTGCTCTTAAGGGGCTGACAAGGAATTTCAAGGTTAGAACACGAATCAAGATGGTTATTTCGTTTTCAAAGGAAGGAAGTAAAAAACCAAGGCTTTCCATTGTAAATGGGTCTTGGATGGGAAACTTTACTTTGGAAATCACAGTGGGATAAGTTAATACATCATCTCAAAAAGTATAGAGAACTTTAGGTAATTGGAAGGACTTATATGTGGAACACACTGAAAGTTTAGAGCCAAATAAAATGGCCTCCAAATGCTAGGCTTCTGTGAATGTGTAACGAGAGGGTTCTATGCACTAACAAGTCCTCTTCAGACCATAGTAAATGACCAGTGGTCCTAAATAAGGACAACTGGTAGACCACGCACTTAAATACACGATTTCAAATCAAGAAAGCCAGCATGGCTTTGTCAGGCAGGTGCCACAAATATCTTGTAGTCAAAACTAGCTCTACAGAATATTTCAAACAAACAAAATCTGATCCCCCCCCCAAAAAAACTGGAACTCGCATTTAGTGAAGAAATTACAACGTGGTTAAGGTTTATCCTGAGTTCTTTTTTATTTATTGTTTTTATTTATTTAATTTTTTTTTTTTTTTTTTTTTTTTTTTTTTTGAGAGAAGGATTTCTTGGTGTCCCGTCTACTCTCAAACTCTCTACGTAATGGGGGCTGGCTCTGAACCGGATCCCCAGCCTCCATTTCTCAAGTGCCGGGATTACAGACATGTGCCACCATGCCTGGCTTACTGTCTATGTTTGGAGTGGTGCTGAGGATAAAACCCTGGTCTAGTGAGCCCTGAGCATGAGATCTTTTACAGAGCTACAATGCAAAACCTAACATTTCTTAAAAGGGAGCAGGATGAGAGAACACTGTTAACTAGCTACCTTCCCCTCACAGCTCCAGCGGGGCTTTCAGCTTTGTCCTGGATATGTGAGGGGAGGGGGAGAGCGAGGGAGGGGGGATGGGAGGAGCCATGCACACTGCTCACCTCTGTGTCTCTGAACCTGTCTTCATAATCCAGTCTGTCCTTCTCAACAGCCGTCAGTTTTAACTTCAGGTTAGAGACCTCAGCCATGAGCTCCAGCTTCTGTGTTTCTAAGGAGGTCCTACTCAGAAGCTCCTGTTAGGATTTCAGATCAATATTCACAAGTTGTTTTTAGCATAAACGTCTGTCGTGACTGCAAAGCAGCAACGGTTAAATAAAGCATGGTCTGTGGGTCAAGAGTATCGGCCATGCACCACAGCGCTGAGGAGCCATGTACTCTGGTGACCCGCTTCTGAGCAGAACTAAACACATCAGCAGGTTGTCGGGAAGACGCGTCTTTTCCCTACTGACCACATTGCTGTACACAGCGCTTGCTATGTGCCAGGACTAAGAGATATTCTCATACGGGGTTCAATCCCTGCAACAATCTTAGGATGTAGAAAAGCTTATCGGCCTCATTGATCGGGGTTTCTAGGGACCTGGAAACCGAGGGACAGAGAGGTCACGAGCCTGTCGAGTCATGCAGGCAGGCAACGGTGCCAAGCAGGCCATCTACAGAAGCAGTGTTGTCCCCGTGTGTGGTCTGTCCACTGCATCACAGGGCTTCTCATCTACAAGCCCTGTGTGCACACACGATGCATGTGTGCATGTTTTTGTTTTTGCCTAAGAACAAGTTGCATGTGGTGTTTGTTTATCATCTCATGGTTGAGAGCTGGAAATAATATGAACGCAAAGGATCAATTTTGCAATTCCTGTAACACGGTACTCTGCTCTGACTGTATGACTTTGTATGTCTCCATGTTTCCAGGCTCTGCTACCCTAGACTTTAATTGCACTAGTCTACGGGACTCTGGGATTTCCTGCTGCAGGCACCAGACGGGAGAGTTGAGCCTCAGATGAAACAGGCCCGCGGCCCCTCCGCCAGCAGCTTTGGCCCGCACCTGCTGCAGCATCTCCTCGGTGGCGTTCAGCTTGTCTCTGTGCTCCTCCAGACAGAGCTCCAAGTCTCGGATCTTCTCCCCCTGAGCCTCTACTTGATCCGTCAGCACACTCACCTGTTAATGCAGAGTGAGGGACAGCAATGAGGGGGAGGGACTTTGGGTCCCAGGGCACACTTCATGGGACTGTAAGACCCATCACTCACTGGTGGTTTAAAAACATCCCAGACTTAACAACATGACAGTGGGCCTTCCCTTTGCTGTTCATATTTTGTTTCGTGTGGATCAAACCCAGGGCCTGGTGCATGCCAGGTGGGCGCTCGCTCGGCAGCGTCTGCAGCCCTGTGCTGCCCTTATAACTTAAGGAGCTCTCCTCAACTTAGGAGAGACTTGGCACTGATCACGGATGCAGTACTGTGCACGATAACATCACTTGCTTTACAAGAGTATAGAAAAATGTTGGTCTCTAATGTAGAGATGAAGAACCAGTATTGGAGGGTACCAGAGGACATGAGATCCATATTGAAACAGACACGAGGGACCACACAGATCTCTTACTTCAGTAGTAAAAGGAGCCAAACACTCTGCAAGCTCTTTCAAGGTCAACATGGTCCTAAATTTGTCCAAAGCCAGGATACGTGTAGGACCCGAGTTCAGTTCCCAGACACACAAAGAACAAAGAAAAAGCCAGCATGCACATCGGCACACTCAAATATCCCAAGAAGCAGTGGGGTTCATCTTTCGACCTCAGGGTCCCATGCAGATCTACAGGTCTCTCCTCAGGAATCACCAGCTGAGTAAATAGACTTTGATCTGGTTAGTTCAAAACATAAAGGCATTTTCTCTGTACTTAGAAACACCACAAGGAAGCAAACCAACATCCCACTGTGGTGTCCAACAGCAGGGTCCCTCAGGCCGCTCTGCTTGGCACATGGGCCCTGTCAAAGCTTGAAGGTCAACATACATTCAGGCTGAGATGCTTGCACCACAGGTATCCGCAGATCAGAATTTCTACTTCAAATGCCTGTGAAGTCAGACCCGACCGTAACACAGGAAAGTCATCTCCGGTGGCACTGAGTCTGACTGGGAGGGGCTGAGTCAAGGACCTGCTCCCGTGGACCGGGTGACATGCCCTCGGCTGCACTCCCTGTATGGACAGCGGGCCCAGCTCACTACTTCTTGTTTGTGAGAGAGGATCTTAGGCTGTAGCCCAAGCTGGACTCAAACTCACAGTTTTTCGGTCTCAGCCTCCTAAACGCCAGGATCACAGACACCGGCACCACAACTCCCTCCTACCCACTGTAATATTTCTGTCAGGCAGTTGGGTTACTATACAAATATGAATTGAGGTTTCCGTTTTCAGTGGTCCCTGGAGGGACAGTCTCCCCTTGGTATCTGTGTGGGAGCTGGCTCCCTGCAGACACTAAAGTCTGCATGCTCAAGTGCCCGCACAAGTGCCCGCACAGAACAGCAAGGTGCTCACATACAATGCACACCAAGACACCACGGGGTTCCTCAGTACGAGGCAAATGCACATGAACGTTGTTGTACTGCAATCCACACATCTGACTAGAGCTGTAATATGAGCCACACATACGGGCGGTACACGTCCTGAGAAATTAGCAGCCTCAAGGACCACTTGCCTGAAGAACAAGGGATTCCTTGTCGTTTTCTAGACGTGCTAGCCTTTCTTGATAGACGTCTCCATTCCCAGGTAGGTGTCCGTTTGTCTGAACAAGAAAATAACACAGATGAGGCCCTCTCCTTTAGGATGGACATGTCATGAATTAGTAAGACTGACATATTACAAACGGCATGCATAAATCCAGCACGGCTGGCACTGCCACGAATGGAAATGTGAGAATTAAAGTATGATGGGCACAGCGGGCACCTGGGTGCAATGGAGCACCTAGACACAACTGGATGATCCACACCATTTCTGAGCAAACAGAAGAGCAAGTGCCCTGCCTTCGCGCTAAATGCACTACTGTGACAAAACACTGACCAAACACCACCAGGGGAAGAAAGGATTCGTTTTACCTTAGAGTCCACCGCAGTAAAATCAGGGCAACGCAAGCAGAGCTCCTAGAGGAAACTCGCTCACTGGCCTGCTCCTCATGGCCTGCTGAGCCCGCTTTCTTATAGAACCCAAAACAACCCAAAACCACCTGCCCGGGAATGCCCTCACCCCCAGTGGGCTGAAGCTTCCAAATCAATCACTAATTAGGAATATACCCTGCAGGCCTGTCTACGAGCTGATATGATAACGGGGACCTTTGCTCAGTTGAGGTTCACCTTCCAAACAACTCTAGCTTGTGTCAAGTTCACACACACACACACACACACACACACACACACACACACACACACACACAAAACCACTAACCAGCAGAGACTCTAAAAAGCACGCAAAGTTCTGAGTGGCTGGTAGAAGACGATACTCCGCTTGTCCCTGAAGGAGTCCTGTCACTAACCTTGGGTGTACAACAGTGAGCATGACCTGTGACGTCCCTCCCACACCTCCCACTCCATCCCCAGGTCCTACACAGGACCAATGCCTCCTGATGGAGCAAACCACATGGGCAATGCCTGTCAGGATTCTCCCTGCTCGCTCAGCCCCCAGTCATGAGGTGAAGGCGCCTGTCTAGAAGCCTTCCTTCACAACCCTCTCCCCCTCAGTCCAAAGTGATTCCCCTGATGGCAGTGGCTACCAGCTTTGCAATCATTCTCTGTCTTGGCTAAACTCTACCTCTGCAGCTTCCTATTTCAGTTCGGTGGGGGGGGGGGGAGACAAAAACAAACCGTGAGAAGGAAGAGGAAGAAAGGGAGGAGGAAGGGGAGGAGCAAGGAAGGAAAGGGGGAGGGAGAAAGAAGAAAAATTAAATCTGGGGCATTCCTTCTGCAGATGTAGACACATGGGATTATGTTTCCCAGGAGGCCGCAAAAAAATTCAAAAGCTAATTCAGCCAAGTGTGCAAGGCATGTTTAGAGGCGGTGTAATCTTAACATCAGCTGTTCAACCACATACCTCCACCATTAGCATTGCACAGCTCTGTTCACACTGTTAACTCAAGTGCCCAGAATTAACATACAAGAGTCTGATGGAGGAGTTGGAATGACTTACAGCCCCTGGGGGGTGTGTGTGAAAATGAGATGTTCCTAACCCCTTGAGGACAGTCTTCTGGAGAAAACAGTCAGAACACAGGATGTATGTTCTCAATCTGTGCATGCGCAGATGCAGACCCCAGACAACTAACACAGAATGTATGTTCTCAATCGGTAAAAGTGCAGAGGCAGACCTCGGATAGTGGTTACACACATTAGGAGGAGGTATCTGCTTTTAAAATCCTTTGCCTGTAACATTTTATAAACACACTTCATTAAGTTAAAAAAATGCTCTATGTTCAGTGAGTATAAGAGGGAGAACTTTCTCTTTTGTCTCTGTTTAAGAGACAGGGTGGGGCTCCCTGGGGTGACTAGGCGAGCCTCAAATATCTGGGCTGAGGCAAAGTTCCAGCCTCAGCACCCTGAGCAGCTCCGACAACAGTCATGAGCCACTGAGTCAAAACAAAAAGGCATCCATTCCCTTTCCCTCCTGTGGTTCTGGTTGGTGTGTGAACCTCAGGCCTCACATGAACACTCATCACTCAGAAGTGCTCACGCGCTCCGCTGGCGAGCTACACCCCATCCCTTTATTCTGAGTGCAAGAAACTCTAGCCAGAATTTTCTTTCAGGCCAAATATTAATACAGAAATGAAAACCAGGTCTCCAAAGTGAACGGACTCAAAGTGAGCAAATGAATCAAATGTGTCCTGATTGCTGGTTCCCAACACTGATATTTATTAAAGTGCCTATAAGTCTCAAAATCAGCTGGTATTTCGGAAGCATCGATGGTGTCCACAGGATCCCAAGCAAAGTCTTAGGAATTGCTACATAGAGTGGTAATGTATTTAAGTAGTTAAGGAGCTGCTCCGTCCACGTGTGTCCTCTGTCTTCCTGTTACTTCTGCTTAAAAATACTGGAGCTAAGCCTAGGAGGTACCTGTCACCTCAAGCCCTTCCTTCCTCCAAGAAGCATGTTCTCTGCGTTCACACATGCACTTCATCCCTCTTACCTGGAGGCCTCTCTTCCCCTTTTTTATTATGTTCTTAAGCCTTCCCTATCTCCTACATCTGGGTCTGGTCTATAACGTTTTCCTTGAATGGAGAGATCATTCATAAACTACTTATAGCACTGGTCAAGCTCCTTAGCAGAAGCACCATGCTCAGAGGACTCCCCCCTCCCCCCCACCACCACACACAGGGAGGCTGTGCTGTGAGCGATTATCTGTGTCTGATAGGAGCACTTAACTAAGTGACCGCAGAGTGAAGGGACGGTGACACGTGTTGGACACCCATGGGTGAGTGTAAGAGGAGCAACTGGGCCTGCTCCGTCACATTTCTGTTAAATTCAGCACGCATTACTTCAGGGCGCTGCGCTGTGTTACTTTACTTCCTCCTTCGGGAGGATTTCTGGTTTTCCTTCCCTCCAGCCTCACGGGAGCTGGTCTCCTGCTTCCCTTAGACCTGCAACTGTTAGCTCTTCCTTATTCTCAGCTTCTTCAGCGTAGTAAGATTTCTTCAGGTTTTCTCTCGACACTGACCCAAGGCTTTGTGCTCATCTCTGCTCACATGTGTCAGCCCATCCTCTCCTCCTCTAATGGCCGGCCTGCCTGCCTTTCACGTCCTGCCCTCAACGTCACAAAACGGCGTTTTACACATTCTGCCTCTGACGGCCAATCACCATTTTTATGTGAACTCATTACTGTAGTGGCTAAGCTTGGTGTCAAGCTCACAAATTTGGGAAGAGGGTAACTCAATCACTGAGTTGCCTACATAAGCCTGGCCTGTCTTTATTGGTTTTGATACAGGAGGGTGTTACCAGTCCTAGGCAGGGGAGGCTTGGGCAGCATAAAAAATGCAGCTGAGTGTAAGCCAGAGAGTAAGTCACTAAGCAAATGCCCTCCAGGGTTCCTGACCTGACTTCCTTTGTGGATTGTGATTTGGAAGTGCAAACCAAATCATCTCTTTCCTTCCACAGTTGCTGTTCACAAAGCACCAGAAAGCAAACGGGAACAGCCATGCATTCTTAATAGTCTCTTAGTGCAAAACCCTCCTATATTTATTTTCCTTCTCCCAGAAGGCTTATAAAATGTGATGTACATCTGATGAGGATGCCCTTCTGCTTGCTGTGAATGTATGTTTCTCTCACTGGTTGATGACGAAAGCTGTTTCAGCCGATGGACAGGCAGGACTTAGGCAAGGGGGAAACCCAAACAAGGATAGAAAAAGGAAACCCAAACAAGGATAGAGAAGGGAAACCCAAACAAGGACAGAGAAGGGAAACCCAAACAAGGACAGAGAAAGGTAGCAGGAGGAGTCGAGGAGATGCCGTGTGGCTGGCGAGGAAGCAAGAGGTTCAGGCATCACTGGTAAGCCAAGACCAGTGGAGATACACAGAGTAACAGAAATAGGTTAATAATTAAGAGAGAGCTAGACAGTAATAAGCCCGAGCCATTGGCCAAACAGTTTATAGTTAATATACGCCTCTGTGTGTTTACTTGGAAATGAACGGCTGCAGGACTGGTCGGGACAGACACTTCCATCTACGTCCATCATCAAAAACTGTATTCACTACAACTTCCTTACAGATTCCTCCGTCCGAAGCATTAAAGACCACCCTCTGGAATATGCTCAAGATAACCCTCTACACTTCAGTGTGCTACACCGACATCCAGGCATCCACGGTGCTGGCTGGGTCTTCCTGGCACGGTTAGGAGAAAACCGTCTAACAAGTATTGCCTCTTTCACAGTTAGACTCCTGCAGCTGGCCACTAATCAGCTCTGGGAATGTGACCTTTCTGAGCACAGTGCAGATGTGCTCAGATGAGGGCATGGTCTAACCCCCCCTTTTAATTTGGTGCCAAGTATTACCGGCACAGCAAGCCTAACACGTAGGTGCAGCAGGCGTCCGGTCACGCGACTGCTTTTGCCATGCCCTTTGTTACAGGTCATTTCAGACAGGAGTAAGAGTTAGAGGGAACGGCGACCTCTGTGTGCCCTTCAGTCTCCACAGGTCTCAGCTCACTGGGAGGGGGGGCCTCTGCCTACTTTGTGGTTGTTTCCCCTTCCATCTCAGTCCTACTCATCCACAGCCATCTTCACTGTCTCCAACCCCCTCCTTGCTCCGCCAGCAACGGTGGCACACACCTGTCATCACAAATTCTGGAAACCAGCCAGGCCAGTCCTGAGCCAGTGATGCTCATTTGTGACCAACCAACCGATTTACACTGGTTTTTAAGTACTTTATTAGCATATGCTAATTACACATACTAATTGGTTCCATGTGTGTACCTGGATATGCTAATTATACACACTAATTGGTTCTGTGTGTGTGTGTGTGTGTGTGTGCACCTGGGTGTACTAATTATACTGTGTGTGTGTGTGTGTGTGTGTGTGTGTGTGTGTGTGTGTGTGTACCCTGTGTGTGCGTGATGCTGACAGGCCCAATCTTGTGTAGGTGATCAAAGCTACTGAGTTCAAGAGTAGAATTGGCCAAGCCGGCCCTGAAGACACGTTCTACAGCACTGCACCCTTTCTCCAGCTTTTACTTTTTCTGCTACCCCTCTCCAGAAATGTCCCCTGAGCCTTGCAGGGATGTTTGAACTTTTGAGTGCAGGCAGGACAATTCC